TTCTGGCTCCTCCTCCAGCCCATTACCACATCCGCCTTCTCTCCACCGCCTCCAAGCCTCCAACACATCCTCCCTAGATCGGAACATTAATGTCTGACCTTTCCCTCCACTCGACTCTCTCTCCTTCATTTCAACCACACATTTCTTTGAACGGTCCAAAGGGCTGTGGATTGTGACATGAAGTCTGCCATCCTCGAACTCTGCCTTCTGCAGCAGGACACTCTTCTGCCATGGTCGACCGAGCAACAATCGGAATGGGGCTTGAGGCACCACAAAGGTGTGCGCCCATGTCTTCAAGCCATTGACCTCCACCTCGATGAACTCAGCACAACCCTCCATCTTCTCCAAGTCGCCATTCGCTGTCTCCATCATCATATTTCGCCGCATATTGACCTTGTGTCTTGTCTCCTCCCACAGATCCCTCCGCATCACCACAATCTCCGAACCATCGTCCAACAACGCTCTCTCATCCACCTTTGCTGCCACCCTCACAGCCACCTCCCGCAATGGCGTACAATATTCGAGCGGAATAGACTGGACACTCATTGTAGCAGCAGTCGCATTGACTGTAACCAGTGTCTTTGTCATGCGGCACTGCTTGACAATGCGCTTACGCAGGTCACCACTCAGCGAAACAAGGTCGCCAACAGTCATGTCGTGAATGGGTGTCTTCATGATGCGGTCGTACATTTTGGATGCTGCGTCTGGGTCCGCCGCTGCTGATTCATAGGTAAAAGCTTTCTCCAGTGTCGTAGATGATACTTTGGCTGATTTCTCCTTTCTTCCAGTGGTCCCTTTTTCTTCACCAGCCTTCTGCTTCTCCAACTCCTTTGCTTTTCCTCTCGTCATTGCAAATGCTTCTGCCTCTCTCAGCTCCTCAAAAACCTCCATCAATGCAATCTCATCCTCCTCCTCACCTTTGCACTCACTATCATAAACCTCCTCCATTGTGGCAAAGGTTGCACTGACTGGCGTTACAGCTACGAAAGATGTTGTGGCCATGTGCGGGGGTCTGTCGCGTGCCCTCTCGAGTTGTCCGCCAAAAGCCTTGTCGACCACTACTTTGAGTCCTTGTTGGTTGAATTCAACTGCCTGTCCACCTCGTTCATCAGGAAAATAGAGAAGGTTGTCTTTCCACACCACCCGCTTTGCAGCAACATAGTCTTCTACCCAATGACAAGCCCGCAAAACATGGCCATAATTGTTGCAGAAATAGCAAGGCTTCCGTCGAGGAGGTGCAAGTGGTGCTTGCACTGTGTTGACTCCTGATGTTGAGGTTTGGTTCTCTGTCTGACCCCAGACGGAAGATGTAGGCTTTGGAATGACAGATGCGGCGATAGGTGCGAGCCTGACCAATTTGATGTATGTTGCCGCGTAATTGATGTTGCCAACCTTTAGACCATGAAGCTTCTTTGTCAATCTTTCCACCTCTTCCCCAACTTTCTCCTTTACCTCCACCTTCCGTGTCCGCTCTTTCCCCTTCCTCTTCTTCTTCACACCATTGTCGCTATCACTGTCAGAATCAGACGAATCATTCGCAGAAGCATCGCCATCACTTGAAGAATCCGATGAGCTGCTATTGCTCTTTGAGCACCTGTCTTTGCTCTTCTTTGACCTCCTTCCTCGTACAGGAATCGGGTCGTCGCTGTCCGAATCCAACGCATCTTCCCCCAACACCCTCTGTGCTGCTTTGACAACGTTTTCCACTGATGGCATAACCTTCACATCTCTGGCAGCATCGGTCATGTCGAGTCATTGCTTAATCAACTTCCTCATCACCTTGGGCAGGCCGTTCCAGAAGTACCGATTACTGTCCAGTGTGCTGATCTTGTTCTTGGCAACTAGGAACTTCGCCATTGGCTTGAAATGTGAGTAATACTTCATAAAATGTTCCTCTGTGTTGATGCGTTTTTCAGCTGTTGCCTTCGTCAATTTCTCCAAGTCGGGCACAGTGTATGCCTCGCCTTCCTCGGCACCCGGATACTGCTCCAAAACCTCCTTTTTGAAAGCAGCCCAATCCTTTGGAGTTGCGCTGTAGGCGTCCAGAGACTTCCAAAACTTCCTCGTGCTCTTCTCAGCCACATACTTCAACACCCACTTCATCTTCTCCTTGTCCTTCAAGCTTGCTACCTTTGCCAACTCCTCAAAGTCCTCGAAAAATTCCAACAGCTCCTCTACCTTCCCTTTCCAGTCCGGGCTCTTCTTTGACCCAGGGGTGGGCATCTTGCTAGGGTCTGATGACATCGTGTTTATGGAAACCACGTTCGCAGCAGCTGATTGAGTGAGTATATGCGCTTTGGATGACTGATCTGACTGATTTTTTTGCATCTGCAAAGTGTTTGCGGGGTTTCGTCTACCCGCCCTTGGTGGATTTTTGTATATGTTGCTGGTAAGCTGCTCTTGAACGATCTCGTCGTCTTGTTTGTTGTAATCTGCTGATTCTTTGATGATACGATAGCCAACCTTGGCGATGTCTTCCTCGATGTCGGAAGCTGGTGGCACTCGTCCTGGTACTCCTTTTCTCGGTGGTAGTACCCTAGAACGGCCAACCTCGTTCTTCTGACGACGGGATTTTGATGTGGCGTTTGACTTTGGTAGAACGGTATTGGGATGTACGGGATGAGGATCAGCCGTTTTGGCTTATCCCCTTGCGGTTGGGCTCCAGGTGAATGACAGTAAGTCGGTATGAGTTCGGATGGATAAAGGCCAAGGCTGTATGATACACGGAATGTAGAATGAGTGAAGTCTCAATGCATGAATCCGAAAGCTAAGTCCTAGGCGAGATGCGCCACAGATCATGTGATCGTGCAGTCACCGTAAACCAACATTGCATCGTAGCCAACCTCTCCCTCCTACATTATATACTATAGTGCGTCAGGGAGGTGTTCTCTGGTGACAGTTATTGGAACATACGTCGTGCAATTCTTCTCACAAAGAAGCTGAACGTGAAAGACGGGTCGTATGAGACGACTAGTAGAGGGCAAAAGTTCGCCTAACTGACCAGCATACGATGAAATCGCTGATATTCTAGGAAATTTATCACATTGAGTTTTGTTTTCTAGGACAGATATCGCACGGCTCACCGTGGCGAATCCTTGCACCGGGACAGACCTGACTCGGGCCCATCAACACAGCATAATGCGAGATCGGCGGTCTAGCCGACGAGGAGGGGGTGCTGCTCACCATGGAGGAGAAGAGAGGGTGTCAAAATTCCCGTAGTTTGTCACTAGGTAGAAGTAGATACCATGGACGGTCAGGGCCATATGTACAGTATCAAGAATCCTGGGGTTTCCGTGACATCGTCATCGAGGTGCTCCGGCGGCTGAAGGAGTTGGAATTACCACAAGAATGAGACCTGAAGAGGACATTATGAAAGAATGACAACGCAGGCGATGGAACTTGCAATGGATTTGAGAGTACGGCTGTCTTCGCGCGATCTGGCACTGTTGAAGTACATAAATGTCTGCGCGCTGGTTATCCCGTAGAGGCTAGATGACAACCAGAGATCAAGAAAAGCCCAGAAGGAACAGGAAGATGACACTCACATAGCGGCAGCCAGCACTCCGAGAAACACGGCTCCCAGTGTGCTATTCAGTGTACCCATGGTACGCTCGAGATGCTCACAAAGAATTTGGGGAGGCGAAGGTTTGAAGGAAGACGCTTACTGTCCTTTTTAATGTGGTACAGATCGGTCCTTCGACGTGCGAGTGACTCATTGAAGAGTAATACGCTTTGAAGCTCCAGGAAACTATATGATTAGGCAAATTTCGTGTGGTGTGGACCATAACAGAGCGTGCAGTTCCTTCGAAGTGCCTTGAGTCACGGCCTACTGTGTGCGTATACATGAAACAGGTTAAAAGTTGCAAATCCGTGAGCTAACTCCTCCCTCTTATCTGTTGATATCAGGACTATAATAAGGTACTCGCCTTTCGTATTTAGTAGATTATGGCCACGCAAACACCTTGTACTACGAAATAGAAGGTCGGCGACCAGCGCCGGACAAACGGAGAAGCGAAGCCACCATGACGGGGTTGCGTAGTGTCTTTGTGAATCTCTTCGAGAAGGTCCTGTAGTACAGCAGAGGGCAGGAGTGGCTTCGATACGGGCACCTGAATAAGAGACGAACAACGGGTGAGATCATCCACCAAGACTAAGTTCCGAGTGTGGCGGAGCCGGGGCGCGGAGCCTCAACGACTCGGAGTCCTCTGTAACTAGTAGAGTGTCCCTTCTAGGTAGCGGAATTCTGAGATAAGATTGATATTGGGGTATGTGTATTGAAATATTGAAGCTTGAAGACTCGAAGAGAAAGCATAGATCTGGAGGTCGACGTGGAAAGAGGGAACCAACATTCGGCAACATCCGAGCTGTGCAAGCTCCTGGCCCGACCGACCCGGCCCCTGTTCATCATCGGGGGCCTTTCCTTCAGTCACGGTCACCATTGACATCGCTTCCTAGTTGCGTGTGTAAGTAAGGACGGCTGGTTCTATTGCCATACAACTTTGCGGCCAACCTAATGCTTGGAACATTTACGTCCTGAAGCCCCTCCACTTCTCATACTGCTTCCAGGTCACATCGACAGTGCCAGCAAATCCTCCAGTTTCGAGCCTTGCCCGACTTTCGCCACTCTTGGTTCCGGCGCGCCTGAGAGGGCAAACGCCTTAGCGTGTAACTACAGGTTATGAGGGAGTACAGCCTTGTCAGTCTTAGGATCAGAGCTGCTGTTCTACGCTTCCAGGATCGCACCGGGGACCCGAGAGCGACAGCGTCAGTAAGTTGCGCAGTCGTACGTTCTTCTCCTCCAGTTCCTCGCCCTTATGTTTCTTGTGACCCAGGAGTAGGCTCTCTGCAGGATGTAATTGGGGAAGTTGCTACTCTGATCTGGTAGGTCCTGCCCGAGGTCGCGGTCGAAGTGACACCAATGTCAACTTCTGGACCCACAAAGGATGCAGTAAGACGACGAATCCAAGTACATCTGTCAAGGACACTGAGGCGATGACCGCCTCATGTTCGAATACATTCCTGCTGGTGGGCCCACGTATCCTGCCTCATCCCCAACCATCGTCATCTCTTCAAACTACCCATGGCGTTCGCACCCTCGATCGGCAACCTCGTCACTCTCAGTACCATCATCGCATCCATCGTCAGGGCCGTGAACGAAACATCTGGCGCTTCTGCCGAGTACAAGGAGCTCGTCGATGAGCTCAACTCGTTCTGCAACATGCTTACCATCCTGAGACACACACTCGAGAATACCACGGTCTCGCCCAACAACGAGCTCGCCTTCAATTCAATTCATATGGAGATGGCTCGCTGTCGCGCTCTAGTCGATGCGTTCGTCGACACCATCCACCCTTATCACCGAGCCTTGAACGCAGCGGGTGGCACTGGTCGGCGCCGGCGCTCCCTGCGCGTGATCTTCCGGAAGGTCTGGTGGGCACTATTTCGCCAGGAGGATGTAACGAAGGTTCAATTGAGGATGATGTCACATCGTCTTCAGATCGTCGTTTTGCTGAACAGGTGTGCCATTCTTTGCGGCTTACAGGAGGGAATTCACGACTACTGCTAGCCTTTCTCTCCCTGTCGTTCAGGCCGCGGCTTCGAACGAAATCACGACACAAGTCGGCTACAAACGTGAGAATGGGATTGAAATCGTCGATTTCATGAACAAGACGTTCGTCATTCCGTGGGAGCTTTGCTACTCCTTACTGGTCAGTTCCCCACCCTCTTACAATCATCTGTCCCTTCATTGATTCCATTCACAGAAAATTCGTCTTACACTGCAGTCGTATTACCAACACACGCCAGGCCAAACGCAGGCAGAATGGGGAGATTACACTTTGTTTTGCGAAGATCTTGGAGGTTTGCAAGTCGATGTTCGGGATCATTATGACCAGCTTAGGAGAGGTATGAGGCTAACTATGGCAGCTCTTACCTGGAGGCATCTTCCAGAAGGCCGACTGTCCGAATACAAGTGCACTCAATGCCCTCGCACCATTTCGGTTGAACATATTGATTACCTGGGATGGGTTGAATGGGAAGTATCTTTCATGATCTTTCTCGAGCAGCAGAGCTAATTCGCCCCCCTAGCCCTGGCTGTGGTCGAAAAACGCAACTGACGATGCTCGCAACGAAAAAATATCCCAGGAAACGCACTTATGGCTACAAGTATATCTGGTACGGCTACCCCAGAAACTACGTCAATCATAGTGCCTCCTTCAAAATTGTCCACATGGTTGTCAAGGTAACTCTCATGTCCTGTCGAAGTCTGTTGGTACTGATATAGGGGCTTTTCCAACAGGACGTAGGTCCTTTTCTCCATGTAATTAACAGCTTGTGTACCAATCACCGCCTTGTTTTGGAACGCAAACACGTCACAGCGGGTGAGGAAAGATTTTTTTTGACGCTGATTTTTTGCTGAATGCTGGTTAATCCCCATTCGGTTTATTAGAGAGTGAGTTTTTCTGCCTTGAGGATTTCCGGGTGATTGTCACCAATCTTGTTAAATGTCTTTATATGTAGGCAGTGGGTTTCTTATTCAATCCTGAGGCCTGAAGTTGTGTCTTGATATGTGATCGAACTCTACATTGTGACTGCATAACCAGGGGGTGTGTATACTTCTGCCCTCTGATAACACATTCCTTGCGCATAAAATCTAACTCCTATGATAGTTTGTAAGTGAGAAATCACCCCTCGAGGCTCTGGCCTGACCATTTCATAGATGGTGCGTTGCATGATGCGCGATCTTGAGTTCCCTACTTTACTTAACGCCCTTGGGAAATTCTTAATTGCGTCTTGTCAAGATAGTATGTTCTCTATTGCATGTCCCTTTTCCCATCCAATTTACCCATTGCTCAGCCAAACTATTATATAAAGAGCTGTGAAGACAAGCGCCTAGACGCCGAATTCGACAAGAAAATGAAGCAGCGAATCCAGGCCGATAAACGAGGGGAAGAGATCGAAAGGTTGATCCCACAAGTTCCGTTCTGAAGTGAGTTTTCTACGAATCGAACTATCCATTTCATTGTGACAAATACAATATATTTAGCAGACTCAATAAATACTCATGCTGGAGCGATGTGAATAGTAACAATTGCTTCGGTGCCATTGTCCTTGTACGAGATGCCTCGGAGGAAAACATGTTCGAGATATTGACAGAGTGAGCCGGGGACAATGTATTCATATACGTCCAATAAGAATTCTTCCACGGACTTCAGTTGTCCTTTTGCGTCTCTCGAGAGCCTGGTATACTCTTTCCCATTCACCCAATCTGGCGGCGGGAGTTGGTCAATGGGGCAGGTGAACTGCAGTGATACCTGTTGTAAGAGTGACGATCCCTCAAATGCACTGGAGTTGAGAATTTCTTCCGTGATCTGAGGATCATCCGCAGACTGAGAGAGGAATATCTTCGGCTCTAGAGCCAAGTCGACGTCCCGCCCTTCAAGATACTCGTGGGACAAATATCTGCTGACTTGGACTTTGGGTTCCCCATCCGAATGTTGTGCGGGAGGGGTCGGCGTCGTTGATGTACCATGCGATGGGGAATGTTCAGCGTGCTGCGACCTATTTGATGCCCGCGTTTGCCATTTGGAAATCCGGATTGAGTGTGGCGCAAGGGGACGATCGGGCCGAGTGCCAAGGACACCACAAGGAATCATGCAGTACATAACATTTTATAACACCAGTGATAAGAGCGCACGTGTGTTTCATACAGTGAGAAAGGCGTGAACAAGATGCGGCGTGGGAGGTAGAGATGGTGCGTGTCGAGGTGGGTATTCGAAGTGGCGATTCAAGGGTTGCGTGGGCGGCTGCAATGGAGATTGGTCGTTCGACGGGATGCACCATCGAAACATGGAGGAGGAACACACCGAAAAAGTGTTACATACATGCGTTTAACGGGATTAGGTGTCGTCGGAAAGTGAGGGAGTGAGGAATATGGGATAGGAGCGCGAAGTAGGATTGACGATAGCAGGAATTGGGGAGATTGATCCGAGCGGCACAGAAAGTTGAGAGTCGGCAGCGATGAGTGGTTTTAAAGAGAGTTAGGAGGGAAGTGATTGAATTTAAGTTATGCGATCATGAGCTAGACAAAGGTATTCACAGCTGATCGAGGTTGAAATTCTGAAATTGAAGCTGGCACTGAACCACTGACGGACGACGCATGGGATGGTAATCAGGATGCTCACCAAATTTGGCTTCAGATTCTCATGCCTCCAACCCGATCGCAGCTGTTGTTTGAGACTGCATTCGCTCTACGAACACATCGCCGTCACCTAACTTTCCCCATGAGTATCTTGTATCCTGTCTGTATCCGGGGATCGTACTCGGTATGATGCATTGAGATGCATGTCCAGGTACTTGTCTCATGTGTATTGTAGAACGGTTACCCCAGCGAAGCCTTATATACCTTACAGTATAGGTTGCTCATGGCATATGCACTCCAACAAGTGAGGATCCACTCCTCCACCACCCTGCCATACTGGTCTACCACACTGCTGCTCGTTAATCAGCAATGCTTATTTGGTCGAACCCAACATTGTCATGACTCTTGACATGTCTGTCAGTTGAGGTCGTGAAATGCCAATCATCATAGCGGTCCTGGAGACAAGGGGAATGAGACAGCTTTGTGGTCAGAGGGTGAACTAAAAACTCGGGGAGCTGACAATAGATAAGGTAGGTCCTACCCAAGATCGCGGTCAAAGTTGCATCACTGACAACTTCTGGACCCACAAAGGATGCAGTAAGACGACAAATCCAAGTACATCTGTCAAGGACACTGAGGCGATGACCCGCGCCTCGTGTTCAAATATATTCTTGCTGCTGGGCCCCCTCGTATCCTGCCATCCCCAACCATTGTTGTCTCTTCAAACTACCCATGGCATTTGCACCCTCAATCGGCGTCCTTGTCACTCTCGGCACCATTATCGCGTCTGTCATCAAGGCCATTAACAAAACAGCTGGTGCATCCGCTGAGTACCAGGGGCTCATTACGGAGCTCAATGCCTTCTGCGACATGATATATGTCATGAGGGACATGCTTGAAATGATTTCTATCTCGCCCGCCAACCAAGCTGCCCTCAACTTGATACACAGCGAGATCTGACGATGCCACTCGCTTGTAAACACATTTGTGGACACGATCCAGCCCTATCACCAGGCGCTGCATAGGACGGGCAGCACAAGGTGACGATGACACTCACTCTGGGTGATCTTTTGCAAGGTCTGGTGGGCACTCTTCCGGAAGGAAGATGTAACGAAGGTTCAATTGAAGATGAACAGACATCACATGCAGCTAACTGTACTACTCAAGAGGTCTGCTCGTATTTCATCTTGTTATCCCATCAAAGGTGTACTTACTATTTTTAGCCTTTCCCTTGCAACTCAGGTCGTTGCCTCGACCCAGATTACTACAAAGGTCGGCTACAAGCATGAGAATGGCATCAAGATCGTTGATTTCATGAACAAGACCTTCGTCATTCCATGGGAGCTTTGCTACTTGTATGAGGTGGTCACTGACTCTCGTTTTAACCGTCCCTTGTTCATGTATCTCATTGCAGAAAATTTGTCTCACACTGCAGTCATATTACCAACACAAGCCCAGTCAAACGCAGGTGGAATGGGGAGATTACACTCTGTTCTGTGAAGATCTCGCAGGCTTGGAAGTCGACCTCTATCGTAACTTTCACCGACTTAGGAGAGGCATGAGGCGAATAATGGTGGCTCTTTCCTGGAGGCAGGTTCCCAAAGGCAGATTGTCCGACTATGAGTGCACTAGATGCCATTGGATCACCTCAGCTGATCATGTCGCTGACTCGGGCTGGGTCGAATAGAAAGTATTTGTCAGTATTTCTTGCAGACAGCAAAGCTCATTTGTGCCCCTCAGCCCCAGTTGCGATCGAAAGACGCAACTGACAATGCTTGGGACAAAAGGTTATCCCAGGAAACGCACCTACGGATACAAATACATCTGGTTCGGATACCCAAGAAACTATGTGAACAACAGTGTGGCTTTGGACAACATCCATATCGTCGTTGAGGTGGGATGTACGTTCCATCTCCATGTCCAGCAACTCATCTAGAGCTACCCCAACAGAATGTATGTCTCTTTATCCAGATAAAGTCGATTAACAACTTAAGCACTCCTGTTATGCTGGGATTCGAATGTGCCATAGAAGGTCAGGAGGATTATCCAAAGTTTTTCTAAATTCTCATCTATATCTATTTGTTCTAGACTGTGAGCATTTTTCTGCATCCTGAATCTTTGGCAGTAGTTAATATGTGCTCACAGGCAGTGCATCTCTTGCACAAGTTTGCATTGTAGCTAACCTTTGATTTCAACATCACATTTCCATGACCTTTCAGGGGGTGAGTATCCTTCTGGCCATCTGATAAGTGTTGCTTGATGCCACATCAAACTCGTATGGTAGATTGTGAGTGATGAATTACGCTTCGAGTCTCTGGACTGACTGATGGATAGGCGGTGCATTGCCTCTGGCCTGACCTTGCACTCCTCTAAAGTCACACAAATCATGACTAATTTGATCTTTCACAGATAGTAAGTCAAGTAGACTATTGACCACATTGTTTCCTTTTCATGACCATGTTTTATAGCCCTGGTTTTACATAAAAACAAATGAAGATAAGCAGCTTGACAAAGAATTCACAGAGAGAACACTGCAGAGGAGGGAAGCAAGAAGGCAAGGTGAGAAGATTGGAATACTGTTACCGCGAGCTCCTTTCTAAAGTAAGGTTTTAATTTCTGTGATGTAATATTTGACATTACTCAGACAATTTTTGCTTCACTACCAGGTATGAAGGCTTTCTCAGTCTCTTCATATGTACAGCATAATGGTTATTTTCCAGTCAGCGTGCTTGTACGAGATTCCTTGAAGAAAAATGTGCTTTAAACCCTTCCATGGAGACTCTTTATGAAGGCATTGCTGCATATCCAGGAGAAAGTTGCCTACTTTCTTCGATTGGTCTTCATTTCCAGGGAGCCCAATATATGGCTGTCCATCCACCAGATCTGGAAGTGAGAACGTGCCCATGGCGCAGGTAAATTCCAGGGATACTTGTTCCGGAAATGGTGTTCCCACAAATGCGTTGGAGTTGAGAATTTCTTCTGTCGTTTGAGGATCATCTGAAATCCGTGAAAGGAATATCTCCGGTTCTTGAGCCAAGTCGACATTGTGCCCTTCGAGGTATTCGTGGGATAGATATTTACTAACTTGGGCTATGGGTGCCCCTCCACTCGAATCTTCCATGTGTGGTGTCGCTGATGAGTCATGCGATTGAGAATGTTCAGTGTGCTGCGACCTATTTGATGCCCACGTTTGCCATTTGGAAATCTGGATTGAGTGTGGCGCAACAGGATGATCAAGCTGAGCACCAAGGAATCACGCAGTGGCCGCAATATAGATGGGTCACTTGACAGGATGTGCCATCAAAGCACAGGAGAAGAACACACCGACGAATGTTTCACATATATGCATGATGGAAGGGGATGGCATTAGGAAAGCGACAGGATGAAGGGTATGGGCAGGAACATGGAGTAGGATTACCCATAGAATAAATGGGGGAGGTTCGTTCAGGCACCACAGAAAGATGAGAGTTGGGAGTCATGGATGATTAGAAGAAGATTAGGAGGGAAGAGATTGAAGTAATGCTATCATGAGCTAGATGAAGGAAGAAGTGAAGGCACTGTTAGGCTTACATTTGACATGTTAGAGGTTCGTCGCCGACTAAGTAATGCTGAAGCTGAAGTTTGGAAATGAGGCTGTGAGGGTGCAGGGGATGAAAAGAGGTGCTCACCTGTCCCTTCAGCCAACCCCAACCTTTTATCATCATTTAAACAAAAATAATAGAATGCAATCCCTCATGACCTCCGTTTTGAAGTGATATAAGGTGATTTGTAGGCATTGCCTACTGTTCTCTGCATTTCAATGTAAATGCGGGTTCCAAGGGAAAGGAGCAATTTCAGAGGCCTCTGGCCTCTTGGATCAACATCCTCTCTTACCTCTCTCTCCTTCCCTGGTCCATTTGCGTGTCGTTGCAGCTCAGTGCCATTGTTTTGGCGGATGCTAGACTTGTGACAGTATGGCACGTGAGTGTGACCATGGTTGACACCTGCACTGTGCCCCCCACCATCTCTGCAGTGCAGGTAAGCCCTCCTCTCTCTCGCTCTTGCGGGCATCCTAAGCTCACAATCTGGATAGTGAATCCCTCCTATCATCTTGTTTATCTTATTCTCATCTATTCACTATCCTATTGTGAGTTTCCACTCTCTCCTCTCTCGTCTTGAGCCTTACTGTCCCTCAGCTCCCTCGTGGCTCTGCCATCTGAGCTCCTATCTATTTCACAGTAAGGCTCTGCACCCCTCCTGGCTCTGCCATCCCTTGCTCGTCATCTGACAACATCCATTGATTAGATTTTGATCTAATCTGTACCCTCGTTACCCTCTTTTTTCATTGCCCACCCTCCTCTCCCTTTTCTTTTAACGGACAATTTAAGTAGTTTATCTGTACATATACAGTTGTAGCCCTCTCACTCTGTCACCAATGCAAGCTGGAGGTGCATGGTCGTGTGCCTCCGTTTATGGCTAATACCCATCTGATCAGTCAGCAGAGGCCCTACGGAAGAACAATCAGTAAGAACAATTGTCCTTTTGTTTAATTAGAGTATAAGACCTGCATTTCAAACAGACGATAGGAGCACCTTGAGTATGGCTCTCGGCTGGTCAATAGTGAAGTGGACGCTAGTGTTCATGATGATCCCCTGATATTCTTCCACGGTTATAGCTCTCAGTGCCTAAGATCGCAGCACGAGTGAGGTGAGCGAAGCGGTACTGGCTTCATTGTGATGTTTCTTAGGTGCAGGACAACGGTTTGAGAGGGAAAATGCATTTCTGAAGCGGAGTTTGAGCCTGTGTCCTCGGAGTTATAGAGAAGGTGGACGACTGACGCAATCCTTGTCCGAATTTGTCAAGCATACACAAAAAGGCCTGGACCATTACCCATCAACACACAATGATAAATTGGTGTTCGCAATAAATTTCGAACTTTGCCTTTTTGGCCTTATTGCCCGAGGGTCTCAATGACTGCCTGGGGTGATTATGATTAAATAGTTTACCGCCTTTGGCATACTTCCTTTGGCAAGGACAGAACATATTCTGAACAGTCAGCTCTCAGTGGGTATGGCGTTGGTGGGCCCACAAGGACCCACCGCAAAGCGCTCACCAAATTTGTTCCATATTTTCCTGAACACAAATGCTACCAAAGCCCCCCGCTTTCTTTCCCCCCATCATCTATAAATCCAGCATCGACCAAGACCACATTTCAAGCCCCTCTGTCAACACACCGCTGACTTGCGTCGAATCTTGATTCTAACCTAGCTCAGGAAGACCTTTTGTCGAGCATCGAGCACGGCATATCCAGGTACTCTCAGTCATCTCATGTGGTCTACACCGTTGTTCTGATGATCTCGTAGAATCGTACTTTCTTCCGAACTACCTCTCCTAGGAGAGCTAGGCCGAAATCGATCTCATCTTTGTCTACGGCGGTAATTGAAGCCACCCCCCTGGGATAGCAGCGTCACCTGTGATGGAGACGGTTACAGAAATTGCGCGCCCGTGCGATGTCAGTCAAGAAAAGGGGTTACCGAAGATGACGGCACTGTGGCATCGTCGACATACCTCCGTAGTGAGTTCTTTGTTCTATGGAGTACCACCTTTTCAATCAATGGCAATCAATTATAATTCACGTCCTATACTGCATGCCTTTTCCCTAAATCCTTGTTTCCTTTGCAAATAATTTGCGGAGGAAATAAGGCTTTTGGGAGAGGTCATTTGGTATAGGATGTCAATTGTAATTGAATGCCATTGATTGAGGGGGTAGCACTCCGTAGAAAAAGGACTCGCCACCGACTACCTTTCTTGCTTGGCGTTTCCCCATGGTCGTAGCCGCCTATTATGAATAATTTCCCAGTGAGCTCCTCGCATTTCCTCTGTCCTTCAAAAACTGGGCAAGAGCCGATACATTCGATGAACGTTCGATGAATGCTTTCCTATCACACAGACGGAATATGCCAGCTGCAGGCCAGTGCTCGTAAAATGAGGCGACGCAAGGCTGGTGCGATTCTAATACTTAGTAAATAATCTATTTTTAGGATATTGACCTCTACATTTATCCCGTCTACGCCTTCACAGTGAACTTCAGTTGCCCATCCACCACCTGGCATCCGACACTCTCCAGATTCTCGACGATATAGTGGGCTCCGCAGTTTTCGATTTGCGAACGTTCGTGGCTGGTGCAGATGGCGATGACAGTAGCCCCGCTCGCGACACCAGCACGGATACCGCTGGGCGAGTCCTCGAAGACGACACACCGAGTGGCATCGAAGCCGAGGCATTCCGCAGCGAGGAGGAACGGGTCAGGCGCAGGTTTTCCGGCCTTGAGACGCTTGTCGTCGGCAGTGATGGTGACCGGAGGTGGGGTGATTCCAACTCTATTCATGCATCCATAGGCTAGAACGAAGGAATCGAGTCAATAAGCGATAATTTAGAGGGATCAATCAATAGAAAACGTACCGTATGTCTTTGCCCCAGATGTAGCGACAGCGTACCGGCCAGCCGGGATAGAGTCCATGAGTTTCTTCACTCCAGGGAGGATGCGAACGGAGCGATCAACGCTGGCAGCTTCGAGCTGCCACGCCTCCAAAGTGTCCTTGCGGACCTTTTCCTCTGGCACTTCGGGCAAGCCTGAGATGATACCGTCATCAGACCCAACGACCCGCACCGAGTCCTCAGGAGCCGCGACACGCATACGAGCAGCGACGCTCAACATATGGAAGAGCCGACTTCCGAACGATGGACGACGACTGGTGGGCTGCCAGGCGACAACTGAAGGACGACGTGAATGAGGGATGGAGTTGGCAGGGGTAAGTTCGGGTGTGGTCTCGTCCGAGGGAGGAGAGGAAGACTTGTCCAACAAGGAATCCGAGAGCGGGCTGATGGAGCCAGACCCAAGCTCCGAGCCAGGCCCGTGCGTACTGTAGGCGTCGGCGAAGAAAAGGATCGATTCCTCGAACTGAGCGACTTCGTCCTCAAGATCCTCGTACTTGAGGTGCGGCTTGAAGTGCGACAGATTGTCGACGGCGCGCTTGCCGTGGGTGGCGGCGATGACGTGCTCGGGGTCCTGCCCGATGTCTTTGGCGACCTTGTTCCATGCAGCTTCGACAGCGGCGATGGAGTCGGTCAGGGTGCCGTCCTAGAGAGGAGAAAGTCAGTCTAGAGTGCGAGGAGAAGGTGAAGAGGGCGTACCATGTCAAACAGCGCGGCATCTGCGAAGAAGGTGTAGGCGATGGGCTCCATGGCTGACGAGGACGATTGAAAGAGTAGAATGAACGAGAGGGTTCTGAGAGATGGGAGGAAGAGAACAATGAAGAGGGGTCCTAGTCGTCAAGACGAGAATTTTGCTAGTCGCATTTTCGATTCGCCTGCCTTTTATCCTGGACCACGAACCCGTCTGAACTGCGATGCGCCGGGGTATGACGACAGTCGGTCGTGACTGCGATCGGTCGTGACGAATAGCAGCAGCAGCGCACTCCACTTTGAGCACCAGAGCGATAGGCATATCGTTTTCTCGTCGTTGATCGAGGGGAAAGAGGGTGGTTAAATTTTCAGAGGATACAGAGCCAACATGCAAGACGGACGGACGTCATGAAAGGAGGATTTGATTTCTCCCGACTGCGCAGCCACACAGCGAGGTGGGAAAAGGTTGTCCAACATTCGAGGGCATGCTCGGAGGTCTTTCGCGCTCCACGTCACAGGCGAGCGCACGCGAGGCGAGTCATGAAGGAAAAGACTTGAACGCTGCAATGTAGAACCCTGAACATCAACTTCAGCTTGCAGAACAAATAGGAAAAAAGAATTACCCACCCTTCATCGCTGCAAGCTTCCCCAAGAGAACATGGGGATACGGCTGCGAAACCACCCTTCATCTTCAGCAGACAACTCAAGGGTGTTACCAGGCTCGTCCAACACAGCCAGCTTGAATAACGCCGGTCCAAAGTCCGTCGTGTTCTGCCAGTCCGGGTCGTTGAAATCAACGTAGCCGGAGCGGGTGTCGACCATCTTGCGCAACGCCGACACGGTGATGTTTGGGCAGCAGTGTAGGTCCAAGGCCATCAGCTGGGGAGCGACGAACAAGTCGAAGTCGTCAGGGTCTTCTTTCCTCGTGAGCATGTCGAGTAACGTGTCGTCAACATTCTCCACCTTGTAGAACATCAGCGCCTGGGCATCCCAATCGCGTAGCAGGGGCTCGAGTAAAACGTTTGCGTCGAGGTTCCTAAGATTGGTAAAGGGTACAGACGGTATCGTGCCGATTTCGTGGAGGTTTGGACAGCGGTTGAACTCGAGCATGAGGAGGGAATGGCCATCGGAGGTGAAGGAGCAGAGCCTGAACAGCTCGCTGATGACGTCGGGGGCGATCTCTGCAAGGACAAGCTCGGTGAGGTGGTACCATGAGTAGGACAGCGGGTCGAAGTCGTTTGGGGCAATCGACAACTTAAGGTGTTGGATTCGGAGATAGGCTAGAGAGTTGAAGGACTCGACCTTGTCAAGGAGGACGTAAAGAGGGAGTTCGCATTCGTGGCAACTGTGTTCAGCCGAGTGCGGCCAGCCCTCGCTGAGCCGAGGCTCGTACTCTGCGATCTCGAGTATCTCGAGCTCGTCCTGCTAGTCGAGCCACTGCGAGGAGGCGAAGAATGCTCTTTGAAAATTTCGTCCGTCGATCGCGAGGGTCCGAAGCTTGGGCATAAATTCAACGTCCGCATCACCATCCTTCGTAAAGAAATCTTCTACGACGTGTTTGGACTCCTTCGTGTCGTATAGGGTGTCGTCGAAATCTGCTTTGTACCACATTCGCCGAAGGAGGGGGGTTGGGAGCTTGAACATGCCCGCAGGAAAGGGCAGAGACGAGCTACAGGTGGCTGAAACGTAAATGGTCTTGCAGCGATGTAGGTGGTCGGCCAAGGATGCGAGGAAATGGAAAACGATGGCCTGCTCCCAGGCAGTGGTAGAGCTGGAGCAGTAGTCCATTCGACGCGTGATGATGAAGTCGATGGGTAGTTGACGCGATCGACGCAGAAGCGTTTTGGCTCTCGGAACCGGAGTGCACAGCGCGTCCATGAAGAGGACGACGCGTGTCCAGAATGCTGGGGTCAAGGCGAGCACGTCGTCCCAATACGAGCAAACGGACGCGAAGGTGTAAGGGAAAAAGACATCTGAACATACGGCTTTGTGCAATTCTGTGAAAGCTGAGTCGATTATTGCGTGTCTTGAGACTCCTTCGAAGGTCGAAGGGTCGTAATCACCCGCAAAATCTAGATCCGCGTTCCGATGCAAAATTTCCTGTTCTTCGTGGATGTATTTGAAGATGATAGTGAGAATTTCCGGTGGCAATGATGTTGTGGAACAGCTCCTCTGACATCCATTGCGAGGAAGGTCGCGAACAGCGCGTTGCAACAAGGCCATACTGGCTTTATCCATCCTTTGTTTCCGCACACGAAAAAATTTTCATTCAATGAGTCGTGATGAAAGGTAAGTTACACACCTTTGCCGACCACTGAGACCTTTTCTGTACGTATCGCCTGAAGAACTTGACCTTGGCCCAAGCTATTGACCTTTATGCAACTTGAGGAGGTTTGGGGGAAGATAATGGGTGCGTACGCGACGCGTTCCGGGTTCCCAATGGCGAGGTGGTAACGTAACTCGTGGGAATGCAATGAACTTTGCCTTATCTTATCCTGTCATGTGATATCAATCTAATCTTAGCGCTGGGTGCTTCTCATCACCCTATGCTTTTGCCTGCGAACTATGGGTTACAATGCGATCCCGTCCTTTTCGAGAGCGTATATGAGGTTTTCCGATATCCGCCATCCCAGATTTCCCAATCGCGCCACTCCTCGCTTTTCGCACCCCAGATCGATTTGTAGAAACCTAACTGCGCAGCTGCGACAATATCCGCCCAGGATAAGATATCACCCAAAACGAACGGACCCTTGCCTTCGTCCTCCTTGAACCGCGCGTTCATTTGAACGACTTTGTCCTTGAGGATTTCCCACTGCTTGGTGCACTCTTGAGGCATCCATTTTTCGCATTCCTCTTCTGTCGAGGTGAGTCCCCCCCGGATCATTGTATTTATTTATTATATGCAGAAGTATTGTACTACGAGTGTGATTGATTCGTGAATGTCGTAGAAGAGTTCATGAGAACGCGTTACTGAAGTCGTAATTATCGTATGCTGAGTACTAGGTGGCAAGTTTTATTCGAGACCTTTGTCATGAACACTTTTGAGAAGAGCGTATGCCCGTTCAGCAAGTCCGCTCTGATATACCCATCTGCGGGGATCGGCCGCCATCGGCGCTCTCTCTCCCGCCTTTGGTCCTCGAGCTGCCGGCGTTGTCGGGCTGTGGGGCATAGATATGCGACTTCGTTATCGAACAGAGGCGCCGTGAAGTAGACGCTTATCCCGTTCAAGATATCCTTCGAGGTAAATGCCGGGTAGGTGTCCTCTCGTCTAATCGTGATGCCCCTCCAGAGATCATAGAGTGGGAACAGCTTGACATCATAAAAGCTGATCTCAATTTCAGTTATGCTTTCGTCTAGCGCCTGTGCGCTCAAGTCGGCGTAGAGAGACGTTCCGCAATTCAAGGCAGGGCGTATCCGTGCCGATCCGGGAGAGAACCGAACGTCCCACTCTAGTGTGTGATTGTATAGTCTCTCGTCCAGGAGGCCCACTTCTTTTGCGTTTCGTTGAGACGCTGGGATTAACTCTGTGCGTGTAGGGAAGAGCGTCGCCGGAGTAAATGGACCGGGAGTTGGTACCAGAGTTGGTTGGCCAGACGCCCATGGGTTCACACTGGAAGCAGGAGTCCCAAATTGCCATTGGAACACTGGTTGAACAGGTACCAATGCTGTCACAGGAACCCAAGTCACAGCTGGGGTCGGAGCGAAAGTAAATGGCGGAGGAGCAAAGGGATCTGGAGCCGGCGCAAAAGGATCCTGAGCTGCATTTGCAAACGGATTTTGTTGCAGCTGAGCGGCTACGGGAGTCGACGCCCGTCTCGGCGCTTGCTCGGATGATGGCGATTCTCCCTGCGCACTCGGCGCTTCAGGCACAGCTTGTGTCATAGGAGTATGTGAAGCTGGAGGCGCCCATGGAGTCTGAGGGGTTTGTGGTGTGAGTACCCAGGGAGTTTGAGGCATCGGTGTCGGCAGAGGCCACGGACTCGTAGTCTGTGCCGGAGTTCGAGGCATGCCAGGTAACGGATTCGTTCGAGCCCAAGGTGAAGCACTCCTCGGCCAGCGACGAGGTGGTGGCGGAGGAGGAGTGTCGTCGCAGTGCGCAGGGTCTTCGCCATCAACGGCAAAGCGCACACGGCTACGCCTCTCCGCTGCTGTAAAAGGACACCATGAGGTAGATCCTTAAAATAGACCTCGATACGTACGAGGATCTCCCCAGACGGACCAATATTCCCGTAGCCTTGTTGGAGTGCGAGGAGATGGTCGACTGGGTGAGTTTGATGAGACGGGCACGTAATTGGGCACGAAGAAGGGTGCTCCGGGGATGAAAGCTGGGGAAGTGAAAAAATTCATAGCAAATCCGGCCTGCTTCGATACCAGAGGAGAAGTGTTATGGTTTCTTCCCTGAATTTTGGTGGTGGTTATATACACCCTTACATCACTGACCTCGCTTCTGGCTCGTCTTGTGTTATGCTGTCACAATTATTGACAGTGGACCCACAGCTCGTCGCTCTGGGAAACAGCGCGAAACAACACGTTCTTCGACCACAAGCAATTGTTGCGTTATCTTGCGCGTCGGACACCTTGGTTACCTTATTTTTCCCGTCAGTGGTGCCTACCGTGACACGATGCACATCGACGTAGTAATGCGGCGTTTGTTAACACCCAAAAGGGGAAATTCCTGTTTCCTATCCCAGCTTGTTGTTTCTTCTCTTTCTATGCGAGGGGCTCTTTGTTAGTTGGGCAGATTCGAGAGGCTTCCGTCCGACATAAATACAAGACTCCCATCACCTTTTGTTCACCCACTTCTGCATTAGTCATATCGTTGATCGTCCCGCTCATCGCATTCAAATTGCAATGTCAGCTCGAGGGTTCGCCCATTTCTATATAGCTAACCCTTAGGTTGGATGCCTAATTTAAGTCATACTGATAGTGAGGAATTATAGAGGAACTGCCTACGCTTTATGTGGTAGAGGGCTTCCCATTTTCATTTTATGTTCTGTTCGGCCCTCCACCAACGTAACTTCATTTGGATCGGATTCGTAGAGAGATGGCGCGAGGCGTAAGCATTGCCTCCGGATGCCAACTACCCCACTTTAGACGACAGTTTCATACTCCTTGAGACTGTCGATCAACGTCTTCCATCTCCCTCCGTTCCACGATTCGACGTCTTTCCACTTCGGACTATCCTCTCCCCAGATAATCCTTAGCCACACGGTGTACCCAGCCACCACCAGATCACCCCAGGAGAACGTTTCGCCCAAGAGGTACGGCCCCTTTCCGCCATTCTTCGCGTACCACTTGTCCACTTCCGTCAGGGCATCCCGATACTTCGCCCACTCAGCGACGGCGACCTCCCCTTTCGGAAGCAGCTCCTCAAGCGCCTTGCCGAATGTCGCCTCCCTCGTGCGACGGAAGTACTCTTCGCTCCGAGGGTTCAGAATTGTGCAGATTGATGGCAGGATGAACGCCCATAGCGGCGCCAACTTGGCTCGGAACACCTCCGTAAATACCGCCTGTAGCGCAGTGGTGTCATTCGGAAAGAGCTTGGGCGTATCAGGGTATGTCTTGTCCAGGTATTCCGCGATTGCGAACGAGTCGGAGACGTATGAGCCGGTGGAGGGATCGTAGATGGCGGGCAGCGTGTAATGATCTCTTCCGGATCCGTCCTCCTTCTGACCCGTTGGTGCGATTCCGAGTTTCTTGCACAAAGGCTCGATGTCAGGGTATTCAACCCATTCGGTCTTGTATGGGATTCTCTTGTAGTTGAGGCAGTACCTGTCAAGCACCAAAGCTGGAATGGTAAGGGTCCGCTGACGTTGATCTGCCCACAAACTTAAAGTTCTGACCTGGTTTTCCAAGTGTTGGGCGACCAAGCATTGTTGGGAAGCGAAGATGGAATGTCGTAGAAGATGATCGTCATTGGTGGGGTAGTTGATAACGATTGGAGGTGGACTGGAAGGCGGGGCTTGGATTGGGTGCTCCACTGTTCTCTTCCCAGATTATATACGGGCAGGAGTGCTGATAAAGCATTTCAAATGGGCCCACATTGCGTGGATCGTGGCTTACTCACCCTCAGAGCTTCGAGAGTGACTAATATCGCCTGTTCGTGCGGGTCCATGAGGTCTCAAGCGTTCAAGCGCTCAAGGTTCAATTGCGTCAGTTGCGTCAGAGGTCGAATTCTTGCAAACCATGGCATTGTTGAATGGAACTACGGCTGTTTGTCAATTGATTCATCCAAGGACAGCGCCGAGAAGGCTCTTCCCGTCAATCGTATCCTATCATGTGGCCTTCAATCTTCTGATTGTGCTCTTCATACCTCCTTCATAAAGACGGGTTTGGTGGCCGTGATCAAGCACGCGAATATTGCTCTGAAGGGCAAGAAGTGGTCGTTATCGACGCCTCCATCATGAGGAATGTCAATCGAGAAAGATTACCGCTCGGCGCTAGTTGCAACATTGACATTGATAGATACGTCAAGTGAAGGTTCCTTGTGCAGTTCCTCAGAGTTGTATAAAGATCGTTGGCCTAGCTAACTAGACCTCATGAAACGTCTGTCGAGCAACCAGGCATGGCTGAAGAGTTTCCGGAAGACCAAATCACCCTCCTCGACGTGAATACCTTGCTCCCTGACAAACACTTGTCGGTGAATACGTGGGTGACAAGGTGAACCGTATCACCTACATCAGGTATTCAGAACGCTTACCATCGGTCAGGTACTCGTTGAAGATCAAAGGTCTCCCCTTTCACATTTGCTGGGTCGAAATGGCCGACATCGAATCCTACTCCAAGAAGATCGGTGCACCGCCCAGCGGAGTGAAGCCAGACGGTTCGCCACACTACACGCTGCCAATCATCTACGACCCCAGCACAAAATTGTTCGTCACCGAGTCGCTCCTGATAGCAGAGTACCTGGATAAGACGTACCCAGATAAGCCGCGGATAATCCCAGACGGCACACACAGCCTCCAGCGCGCCTTTCGTGCAGCGTTCGAGCCGTTCGAAGCTACCCTGAGACCCTTCGTCATCCCAGTCATACACGAGCAGTTTGAGGGGGCAAGTAAGACGTTCTACCGTACCGCCTTGGAAGCCATCTTCCAAAGAAAGATAAGCGAGATGACGCCAAAGGGAGAGGAAGGACAACAGGCTTGGAAGAAGCTGGAGGATTTTTACGATACGTTCGCAGCCTGGTACGTCGAGGAGGGGAATGGGCCATATATTACGGGCGCTTCGCCATGCTTCGCCGACCTAATTTTGACGAGTCGAATCTGGTGGATCATGAGGGTCTTCGGAAGCGACAGCCCACAGTGGCAAGATGCAAGGACTTGGAGCGGAGGGAAATGGGAGAGGATGTTGCTTCAATTCCAACACGACTACGACTGATTGCGCTTCTTCATGAACTAAAGTCCTAAATTCAAGAGAAATATAATGTATCAATACATGTTTTTGTGTTCGCCAGTTCACCTCTAATCATCAGCCACATGGACAACAGCCTTCGCCTTGTTCTCTCCTTTTTGTACCGCCAAGATGACGTCGCCGAGCTTCTCGAGACCATTGTACACATGTTCGCGATATTTGAGCTCTCCACTAGCCACTTTGGCAGGTACCTCCTTGTAAAATTCGGCGCTGTACTTGGGCTCGATCCGGCTGACGATGAAACCGGTCATGGTGATGGACTTGCCGATAACATGGAAAATGTTCTGCAAGATATGGACGTCAAGGAGATTCGAGAATAAGGTGAGGATACGTACTCGGACTGGTGCCCCTCCACTGTTGTAGCCCGAGATCATGCCGCATTCCTTGACAGTTGTTAGGAACCAAAGTTCGTACTGTGTAAGGGAACTTCAAGATACTTACAATAAATCGAGCGTTGACGTTCGCAGCATTCAGGGCAGCTTCAAGCGTCTCGCCGCCAACGTTGTCCCAGTAGCTATATTTCTCCATTAACGTACAAGAAGTTAGATGATAGAAGCGATACGCACATATCAATTGGGCCCTCTTTCTCCAGCACTTCAGCCGTATTTGTGGTCTTGTAATTGAAGGCTACGTCCGCGCCAACCTCTTTCATGAATTGGACCTTTTCTTCCGAACCCGCAGAGGCAATGACTTTCAGACCATCGGCTTTGGCGAGTTGAATGACGAAGCTGTAGTAGAAGCGATCAGGTTGGTCCGACAACAAAAGTGCGTGTTAAAAACGTACGATCCAACAGGGCCTGCTCCCGTTGAGACGAAGACGGTTTCACCCTGGAGCAAGTTAAATCATCAAAACATACCACGACGCCGATACGCACCTGCTTCGGATGAGCGTACTCCTTCCAGGCCATATATGCCGTTTTGCCTGGTCAAAATGTTAAGGAATACGAAGCACAGATCTGGGAAGATACTGCCACGTACCTGGCATTCCTATAACACCAATAAACACCGACCAGGGAAGGTTGTACGCATTCTCGATGGCTTGGAGGCCCGTCAGGTCTTTACGAATCGAGTAGTGTGTGTGCTCTATTGTGGCGCAATCGATCATGAATACAGTGGTTACGCAAAGGCTACAGAGAAGACCTTACCAAAGAATCCATAAAGATGATCACCGGCCTTCACTTGGGGGTTTTCAGACCTCAAAACGACACCAACACCATACCCCCGAAGCCTGAAAGAGACACCTAAGAATCTCCACGACCATTAGAGACAATATAACTCACGGTTGTCCTAGAGTGAAAGGGGCTGAGTACGACTTCTTCTCGGGGGCACGCATCCCGCCGCGCATGTAAGGGTCAACCGACAGCTCGAGTGTCTTCAGGAGGAATCCCCCATCGAGAGGTGCCGTGTCGAGATCAATGGTCTCCGTGGTGTCGTAGATAGTCGTCTCTCCAGGTACCGGAAAACCTGAAAGGAGTTTAGATCTACGGGTGACATCATATCTCAAAAAAAGTGTCCGCACCCGTAGGGATCGAGTTGAAGATGATTCGTCCGTTTGTAACTGGTGCCATTTCCTTGTACTTGCGGCGTTGAGAGAATTGAATGTAAGCAGAGGGGGAAGAAGATGGAGAGAAAGGAGGTTTTAGTTGGTGGGGGATGGATGTCGCAACCTGGGTATTTATGGGTTCAGGACCACTGACGAATCGACACCCCGGCCCTCGGCTATTCTTTGGCCGGGGCTAAGCACACGGTGTCGCTCAACAGCTTGTTGGCGCGCTGATGTTTCTTGCTCTTCCGCTTGCAGTTAACAGGAATTCCAGCGTGGATCACCCTTGACCTTGTCGAGATGTAAAACTTGGAGCTGAAAAGACTCATTCTCGTCAGGAAAGCTCCATGACGTTAGTTTTATCTGGCGTCTCTTCGTCTTTCTCTAGCAACACGGTAGTGGCGATCCTATATAGGAAGTGCTTCAACTAGATGCACACACGAAGTATGAGAGTTCTGGAAGGCGTCATAGACGGCTGGAGCACTTACTGAGCAGGTCGCAGCTGTGTTTCTGCGGCTTTTTCTTCGGCTCGGAGGGGAATGAAAGCACCGAGTGCGAGGGCAGCCTATCGGGCATGAATTGATAAGGTTCAATAGAGCTGAATTTGGTTGAAACTGAAGGCCTATAAGTACGAACCGATAACGATAGGAGGTCGAAACAGGGGTGAAGACTAACAAAGTCAACGACGTTACTGTACCTGCAACGACTAGATGGTTCAATCAACAACCTAGTACGAAACGTCGAAGTGGAATCGACCTACCAAAGCCAAGCACGACACCAGGCATACTCTGCTGAAACTCAGCAAAAGAAAACAGCGTTCCAACGGGGACGAGCAGCACGTCGCCCTTCTCGCAGGAACCGAAGGTGGTGATGATGTCGAGAATGAGGGCGAGCGTTACCAACTCAGGAAAACGACGCCAAAGAGAAAGAGGCCTGGTGCACAGATAGCAACGATGGAGACAATACTGGAGGTTCTGTCGAGATCCGCCCACTTCGCACTATGATGACGGTGGAAATTATGCCTGACGGGATATATACAATCAGGCGAGTAGTAGCATTCGTCTCGAACCCTCTAAGAGAGCGATGAGTCATCGAGCAATGAACCTAGCTAACTGAAGCAACTTACATTGAGATACCTCTCGTCTTCGCTATCTGTACCCCTAGTACAGTGCCTGTAGCGTCCTGAGCGAAGATGAAGATTTCGGCACCGTATTGTCGAATGGGAAGTACAGCAAGCTCGACGCTGGATTACCAGGTAAGAAGAGGGGGTATTCCGTGCGGAATGTTGGTATGTTGGCGTCGATGTCTTCAGAGGGGAACTGCCTTGAATAGAAAAATGTCGTTTCGTGCGGCACTGTGTTCACAATTCATGAAGACACTTTTTATATATTGGTCAACAGTCTGCGTGAACAAGGTCGAGGGGCAACTCACTTGTCAAAATACAGATCCACATCTCGACAGGCACTGAACTTTGAAGTTCTGCGCCTCCACAGTACACTCTGACTGCTTCTCGCCAATGACTGTTCAGTCCATCGTCATCATCTCAGCTATTGGGTGGGCTGCAATGAGAATTACCTCTATAATCAGGGTACGGCCACGAAAGGGGGGCGAAACCTACTCGGGGAGGAAATCGTGTACATGCAGGTGAAGGCGGGCGATGACGGATACCAAGGGCGACACGATGACGAATGCGAGGCAGCAGCAGATCCACCAGCGGAGAAGGACGCGGTGCCTGCGAATCCGGGCTTGGAGGTCGAAAATGTCGGTCGAGGAGGACGCTGTCCTGTTCGCTGTGTGAAACGAGCATGAGGGCCGGGTTCAGGTGGAGGACGGTACGGGAGGCCAAATGAGATATTTTGCACTTGGGTCGACACCTTGTCCGAATCCACGTCCCTCCTGCCCGTTAGCGGAAGGATACAGATGAGAGAACCGCGCCAGCTCCGCCGAACGATGTCTGCTGAAAGCCCTGGCAAACAGATAGTAGCATTCGCGAGTAAGCGATTCAACTGGAAGTGATCTCATCGAGTTCTTTTATGGCTGACGTCGCAAGAGCTTAGGCATAGGTGTTTGGATTGTTCAAAGTTGCTTTACTGAGAGTTCTATAGGAAACAGAGATGTATGCACCATCTGACGCGTCTAAAGAGGCGATGAGCAGCAGGAATAGAACGTGGAATACAGGCAGACCTTTCATTCAACAAAAACCATGACCTATCTTTCCCCTCAAGCAACGTACTGTAGCCCCAGGAGCATGTACAGATCGAAAAGCGAACAACGGAGACGAAGTGGGCTGCGGAAGGTGAAGGCACGGACCATCGGCCGAAGGCTTCCGGGGAAATGGCTACCAAACTCCGATTCGGCACATACCGTCGCCCAAATTCTTGAGTAAGCAACTGTGGCGTTCAAGCAAGTTAGAAGCAAGTAAGGTCGAAATCAAGAATTTGGTATGAATTACAAAAATAAGAGAACCGAGGAGGTGCAAAGTAAATGAATAATCGCAATTTGATTGAATTGCGCTCAAATTGCGCTACAGCCGACTACTTCAAGTGCAGTCCCAAGCGACACGAGTCCCCCATGCACAAAGACGTGTGGTCTATCAAGAGCCTCCGGAAAAGAGAAGCCCTGCAAAGAAAGTCTATGCGTCTACACACGCCATCCCGAGGACATCGCCGTTCAAACTCGTTCATAACTCTATCCCGCTGTGAGGTTGATGGAGCGAGAATCGAAAGGTCTACCGCCGTGACTGGTGTTTGAAAGTACGAGAATATCGCGTTCAGCGCATCGTCCAACGTGATGACACGGGGTGCGCCTGTCCTTGAAATGACGATCGGTCCCCAGACTTGAGCGAGCAGAACATTTTGAGGGTCTGTAAGTTGGATAATAACGAAGGACATGTTCGGGCAGAACGCTGGTTGCTGGAGATCCGGCTGGTATCTTTGAGAGTTTGTTCTTGATCTACAAGCCGCATGCGATGGAGGATCTCAGACGTCCCAGATGAGTTCTCGATTGTGGAGGACTTTGTGGACCATGATATCGCCCAGGAGAGGAACCGGGTACGGTACCCTGACGTCCCCAAACGAATAGACCCAAGGTGGGGATGGCATAGCGTGGGGTGCATTAGGGGCTATTCGCCTGTACGGCGGTGGCATATGTCCCATATAATCGTAACTAGACCTCTGCCCAGCAGGACGTGCCTCAGCCCCTGGGCGCTTAATTTGCCGGTTATGATGTCCCGTAATGCTTCGTTCGGCGTGAGCGTTCCGGTGAACAGCTCCACTGGGATAGGCCGCTACTCCCTTCGCACTATTCCCGATTCTTGCGTTGATACGCGGCCCGTTCATGCCTTCGTCTCCCTGCGGCAGCCATCGAAAATTCTCGTCGACGAGCGTGACATGTTTCCTACGTCTCCGAGCTATGTATAAGAAGTCAATATGCAGCAATGGTCTGAAAGATGGAATTTGATAGCTTACTTTCCGGAATCGCGTTGCGTGCTCTCCACGCAGGCTTCAGGAGTACCGCAGGAGGGAGTGTCGTATGCCGATACCCATGATCCAAGGGGCGGGAAAATATCGAACGCTCATAGGTAATATTCTCCATATGTGGCTTGGGTTCTCCAGATTCAGAACGACGTCGAATACGGTCGATTAGCGATTTCAAGCAGCGCAACGGCATGGAGGGGAAGCGCCAGAGATTTGACGCCCACAGTGATGATGGCTCCTCAGGAATTTATATTGCCTGGTATGTGGGCCCTCATATTCGTATGCGGATGGACCCTCCAGTGCGACAACAAGACCTCTCATCTTATATAGCAGAAACAATAAAGCGTCCACCCCAAATTGTCGTCGTAGGGCTTGTTCCATGGGAAGAGGGATAATTTTCGGCACACCGCAAGCACACCGCTCTGTTTTATTATTAAATTTCCTGTCGATGGGTCGCGCGTGAAGGGGCGACGGAAACTGGAGGTCCCTATTCGACCCGGACCGCTGTGTTAGGGTAAGAGTCTAAAAATAACCTGTCGCCAGACCTTCTGAGCGAGCTCGATAACTTGGATGTCGCGGTTCAAGGAAACAGAAGTACTTATAAGAAGATAGAATAGCATAATATTTATTCCCTCAAATTTTCTCATGGAGTGCGCAAGCTCCAAGCCCGGAGTCCTAAGCACACAGTCATCGACGGCACTTATTTAAATGCTCTAGCTATGTGCTCAAAATTTGGGAAATTTTGATTTATTGTAACAAGAAAAGCACAGAGGAGAGGCATGGGTTTCATAGTTTGGCATAGATTTATAGCGTATATGAAGTCTTGGGCTAGCAAAAGAAACGCTTTCGATGATCTCGAACAGTTCCAAACAAAAATGACGACGAGCGCGCTTACAGGAGATGGATCCAGAATTAACTATCACGCGGGAACGCTCGAGCACGACGGACTGCTTCAGTCAATAGCTGGTTCCATTTCACTTCCTAGATTAAACCATCAGTGACTATCGCGCTGGCCGAAGGGGTTGACGCGTACGCGCTCCGTCAGAGGCTCATCGTCGGTTTCATTACCCTTCACGACGTCGAGAAAGCGCTCAGGCGGGCAATAGTGAGTGTCTTTAGCGAGTCCTCTGAAGGTTGGCGTCGCTGGAATAGATCGGACCCGGCCATCCGAGGTCGATGCGATGGCCTCCTCAGGAATGAAAGACGGGAACGGAGAGTTCAGTCCAGTATCGAAATCCATCTCGTAGAACGGGGGTTCCGTGACACGAGGGCGGCGTTCGTGTACTGTGTCCTTTGATCGATGTTTCTCCCTTCCAAGGCGCTTCTTTCTCTTCTGGAATTGACGCGCCTTGGCCGAAAAACCGTCTTCGCGAACGCTGGTACCAGGGGTCGATCCCCTGTTGGCTCTCATCGAGAGCTCGAAGGGACGTTCGACCTGGAGGTAGTTCGAAATATTTGACTTGGCATAGCGCATGGCGATCTCCGCTGTACGAGGGCTCAACGACACGATTGGAGTTGGGCGCCTGGGGCTCGCGGCATCCTGTGAGAATGCGACGTCTGCTGTTGTGCCCATAACAAGAAACATTCGACACTCGAATGGAAGACAGAAGAAAGACAACGGGAGGCAAGAAGGAAGGGGGGCGGAACCAGACGTTCAGTTGGGAAGAAAGGGAAGGGGTCACAAAAAGCGATGGATGATGGGCTTTTAAAGCAACGCCAACAAAAGCATCGTCAAGGAAAACGCTCGCTGTGCCCTACAAACCGCTTGTGCACACAAATGGGCCACGAGTGGGCCATCTTCCTTTCTGAGTGAAGGCGGCTCCAAGCCAAACAATAGACAGGCAGCCATTTGAAGCAAACTGTCAAGCGGGCGTTCAAAAATCCCTTATTAGAAACAAGGACATAGGTTGCAAGAGACCGCGTGGCTTCCTGCAGGTAAACAATGGCGTGGAAAATGCCGCATAGCAGAAGAAGGATTCGTCTAAATCCTGATGCGCCTCGGGCAGTGGCAAACCAATAAAAGGGACGCCTTCACTGGCCACTTCGTCCATGGTCAAGAAAGCTAAGCGTCAATGGTTGGACGTTCGGCCTCGCTGGGTCTACGGAAGAACGGACCAGGGTCAGGCGAGAAAAGCGATTGTTAGGCGAACTGCGCACAAACAGCGTCTTTCAACTTGGCGAGAGCGAGGCTTCCATGAAGGCAAAATGCTGGTTCGTATAGAGAGCACGCTACGAGAAGACGAGGTTGCGCTTTTGCAGTGCATCAAGGATCGCCTACCTCCGAGTCGAATATTGGTCGATTTGAGATTAGTTTGACGTTCCCTGGAATAGAGACATCGATCGTGAAGGCTCAATTGATCGACGGCGACCCTCGAAGTCGCTGAGGGCGAGCAATGGAAAAGAACGGTGGGTGGAGGTACTGAACGTGGAACTCACTGCGGAGGAGTCATCAGCGTCATGATGACAATAAACGAAGGGATATTCACCTGTGGAATTCCGTCCCATTTGATGGCCTATTGGAATTCGAGGTTGCAATGAGGATGTTCTTAGAAAAAATAGCATGAGACTCAAGGAGGGAAAACGACGGTCAATGGGTAGTACCTTGAAGGAGTCGAGATCGCCATGGAATGGTACACTCGAGCCAAGTCTGTCGTAGGTAGGCCGACGTTGCTAGACTAAGATTCAGTTTCACTATTCCAAACAGTCGCTCAAGCCAACTCATACAGGGTGGTCAACGTTCGGATTGTTTCCGACCGGGTTGCCAACTGGCGCAACGGCGGCATCCCCAATCCTTGCGCCATTCGTGATCAAGACCGGGCTGTCGGGCGTGATTATCATCTCAGGTATCGTCCATTGTACGACCCGCCATCCTTTCTTGATACCTTCAGAGGTTATTGTTACGCGGCTGTACTGCGGCGACACAGCGTCTTGCGTGGAAAGCTGGTCGGAGGCGATGGAGTCCAACCTCTCCGCGGATGAGCACCTCGGGCGTGAAGTGTGAAGGAGAGAGGTAACAAGGCGGCAGTGCCGTCAAAGGGGATAGTGACACGAACACTATTCGATATATCTAGAAGGATGGCCTCGGCATTCCTCTCCACGCCGTAGATTATGGTTTAATTGTTTGGCATCATCAGGATGGTTCGTCAAGTAAAGGTAAGATCCTACAACGACGTCAGGTGGTGGTCAATTCGATTTTCCAGAAGACGAGCCTTGTAAAGAGATTTACTGGAAGGGTTCGCTCAAGGAAAGCAGACGGTCGTGGAACACCACCATCCTTGGGCGGTAAGAATTGTTTACCGGATCTGTGCTGCAAAACGGCGTGTCTTCGTGAGTGCCGCCAGCAATATGCTGCGAAGCATCCAGTAAAATCGATCTCGGCATGAAAAAATGACGACCCAGCGAGTTTCGCCCAAATGGAAGTCTTTTGGATCTTCAATGATCTCGCGCCCAACGCTATCGGGATCATCGCATGGGCCAAAAAGACGTATGCCGCTCCGACCATCTTGAGCTCCAGTGATTATCACTGGGATATTCTCGCCGACGCTAACCTGAAGATTTTGTCAGGACGCGACAAAATGAAAAAAGACCTTTAACCGTACCGCATTTCCGTTGCCCAGGGTTCCGTTGCCGAGGAAGGCTCCTGAATCCTGATGCACAGAAACTATCCGTAACAAGGCGAAGAGCGCTGGCCCTAAAGCTTGAAGCTTGAAGTTCCACAATGCACCCCAAGTCGGATGGTTGTCGACTATCATAGGGTCATTGGGCCTCCAGTCGAAAATACAGCTAGAGTTGGAAAGGCCACGATCGCTTCGAGCGCCAAGATCCCAGAAGATCCGTTCTGAACGAACCCACTCAGCACCAATCATTAACGTGACTGAGGCTGGAGAAGGGAGAAGTTCGAGGAGACGATGACGATGGATCACCACTAAGCAAAGAGCTTGAATGTGGAGAGCTGATGAGATGATACAACTTATGCGTACCGTTATTCCGCTTTACGCAGCAGCGCAAACACCTGAACCCTCCTTTACATCTTCATAGTGGGTAAAAACCTCCAAGTGGCTCGAGAAAGCGGAATCTGAGAGTGCATCCCTCCTAGATGAACCCTCCGTACACCCTGGTCGCTTCAAGGTGGGTTCTGCAAAAGTTTTTTTAGGGTACATGCTCCGAAAAAAAGGGTTTTTATACGCACATAAAACCACAATACTTTTCCTAACTGTCAAGTGGGCATGTTTTCCTGGAATTCCAGAAATTTAATGGCTGACTCTAGGAGGAAAGAGGACGAGGATAATCAAGCCTGAATGTTTGAATGTTTCTTGCTGAAGATACACAACATGACGCGAGCACGCCTCCTTGTTTGGCAAATGCCTTGGGAATGCACGTCTGTCCAAGCAACGCGTCGGCGACCAAGGTCCATCTCCTTCTATTCTGAACACTACACTTTCTGAACCCCCCAATAGGTCCTCCAGATCGATGAATAATGCCGAGCTCATTCCCACGCCGACATCTGAGATCCTGAGGTTATGAATCAGGGAAGGACGTCATGACACCATGAATACCCGAATCTCTGCTAGAGAAAAGCTTTATAAAGCGGAACCTTTCCAACATGCAAGAATAGTTCTTTTTGGCGCGCATTTATCAACCCCATGTACGTCTTTGCCTCCCCAGGATGGAGGCTATTGCTACTAACGACAACTCGTCCTGCTGTTAGTTTTCCGTGCAATCTGGGGCGTCGTTCAAACGTTCACCGTCCATCGCCGTGTCATGCTGAGTTACATATGGAGCGGATTTGCGGAGATTGGTTGAAGCAACTCAATGCTCTCAATGGAACGTCGCCGAGGTCAGCTGATCTTCTTCTTGTAGAACTTAGCAATGGCTGACTGATCATAGGGCCATCGATGACTCCGCAAGACTGGGACATAGCGCTATATCTTCAGCAGAGGCGAAATGCTAAGGAGAGCAGCTGGATTTGCCCCACCTTCCTCGTAGAATGAGTATTCTTCAAGGATGGCACCGCGGCGAGCGCCTCGTCCGCCAAAAGCTCGGGTACGACAAGATCCCATCGACGGCCTATCTATATACCTCGATTCAGGGCGACATGCCTGAACAGCATTCCACATTCTACTCTACGCGATTGCCTTTCCTCCCCGCGTGTACTCTAGGCCCAGACGGTCGGCCGTGGGGCTCCATTCTCGCAGGCAAGGACGGCGATCTCGCGTTCATCAGCCACCCGAGATACAACACCCTCACGATGGAGGCAAAGTTGTGGGACGGAGAGCCGTTCCTCCAGAACGCGAAGAATCATGAGGAAGATGTGATGCTTATTGCTGGAATCGGTGTTGAGCTCTCCACGCGTAGGCGGAACAAGTTTGCGGGTTATATCACCAAGTTGAAGATCGAAGGCGGCATCGCCAATATTGAATTATTCGTTAATGAGGCTATTGGGTATGTATTTTATAGTCAATTCTCGTCGACTGCTAAGAATTTGCCATCTAGGAATTGCCCGAAATATATCACTCTCAGAGAACTAACACCCCATCCCAATACTTCCCCCGTTGTAGTCAACGATAAGAAGGATCTTGCAAAGGAAGAAAGACTTTCCGAAGAAGCGATTCAATTGATCCTTGAGTCAGACACCGTTTTCTTTGGGACCAGCTATGTGGCTTCAAAGCAAGAAGAGCAGGCATACCCTTCTCATGTGGGGATGAACCACCGTGGGGGTCGGCCAGGGTTCATCCGCGTAAAGCCCTCAGACGGTCGCACAGTCATCCTTCCCGACTATTCTGGTATGTCATTTTCTGTCAAAGGAGCCTTCGCAGCGTTGACCCTCCCTGGACGCAGGAAATCGAATCATGACGTCCTTGGGAAACGTCGAAGCTACACCCCTAGCCTCCCTCACATTTATTTCGTTCGTTACAGGCGATATTCTCTATCTGACGGGGAAGGCGCGCAACGTTTACGGAGACGAAGCTCGTTCCATCATGCCACTTCAGGACACCTTCACAGAGGTTTTTGTGACCGGATATGTCCACGTCCGGGACGCCTTCCCAGCACGCCAACGGCCCGGATACACGATCCAACCTAGTCCATACAGCCCTCCCATCCGCCTTCTCACAGAAGAGAATCCTCAATCGAAGATATTTTCAACGAGCGAGCAGCCGAAAGCGCTCTTGGTCAGCATAAAGATCCACAGTCCCACCCTCGCCACTTTTGAGTGGGAAGTCCCCACCCCGGTGCACATCCGACCAGGTCAGGCGGCCATCCTGGGATTCATGCCGCTCCTCGGCTCGCGTCAGTACCAATACATGGCACCGCAAAAGCCGAGCGCTGTGAACGACGATTTCATTCGTACGTGGACTGTTTCCAGCGCGCATGAGGGTGAAGGAGGAACCCGACGGTTCGCGTTGACGATGCGCGAGAAGCCTGGTGGCACAGTTACGGGGGCGCTCTTCACCATCGCTCGGAGGCTCGCTCAGCTCAAGCCTGAGGCGTTGGTCGATTCGAGCGTCTTGGGTTTGCGGGTCGACCTTGTTGGTATCAGTGGTGATTTTGTGCTTCCCACACCCGCGGCGAGTGGGAGCCGCACATCGCCCTCGCTTCTTTGGGTGGCAGGAGGCATTGGTATCACACCTTTCCTCTCGATGTTGGCCGCCCTATCGAACAAGAAGACAGTCTCGCGTCGGAGGTCACCCTCCTGCTATCGACTCGCGAACCGCAGATCATGCTTTTGCTCCTCAGCAATTCGCTCAAATCAAGCGAACGTACGCGTCCCAAGGTCTCGATTCACGTCTTAACCGATTCTCCAGAATCCATCGAGTCGGAATTGCCTGTTACCCGACACGCAGGTCGCATAATGCCCTCATTTTTCAATAAACACAAAAATACTCTTATAGCATCCGACACGGAAGTGTTTGTATGTGGACCAGGATCGTTTGAAGAGACTATACTCAACACCTTGCGGTCTCTTGGAGTATCTCCAGAGCGGGTTCAACGAGAAGGGTTCGCCTACTAGGAGACGCACGCTTGATTATCAGTAGTAATTTAAATAATGAACTCTCTTGCATCGCTTTATAATCACTGTTCGGCTGCCAATCGTATACCCACCTCAAGGAGTCGTTGGAAAGCAGAGTGGATTAGAAAGAGCGTTGTGATAAATCGCCAAGAGGTTTACCATAAACGGATGATATCTTGCCGATCCGCAAGTTTCCGGTAAACTGGTGACACCGGTGACGCTCTCGTCTCAGCTTGTCTCCTACCACGTTCACTCGACGCACGCAATCGCATTCCTTGGCTTTTCAACATTCTCTTATGGATCTGCATCGTTACGAGGGCTTCGACAAAGGGTGTGTATTATTGAGGGACGTACAAAGTAAGTGTCGAGCAATTAGGGCTCTCAATGTCGTCTTTCTAATCTTATCGCGCTAGGTATTCCTGCACTGGTATAACACCCGGGGCCTTCGACCTGCGAATCCGCGGATTTCCAGCCTTGACGTTTTCCATGCGTTGTGACGCTTCTTCGCAATCCGTACAAATTGCAGTCTGCCATGAGTTGATGTCAGACGAGGTCAGACCGTCGGATAACGGCTATATGGGCCATCGGCGATTGTCTGCTTCGCCACGCCCCAGTAAGAAGCGTTCTTTGCGGCTTAGCCGTCCAATCCAGCGCGTGGATTAATGGCCTTTGCAGATCAGATGGCCCCTCTGTCTCCCACACCCTTGACAAGAGACCTATAGATGGAAGCGGCCGGAAGTCCCGGAGATTTTCTTTCTTTACATGAGAGAGAGAATCATTAAACAAGTCTCGAGAGATCCCAGAATTAACCCTCGCTCCTTCCAGTCAGACGGCTATGGTGCCTCAATTGCTGACAGCCCTCTCAGCTTCTCGTTATGCGCGACCTCCCTGTCATGTCTTCAAGAGATCGGCTTTCATCCCAATGCGCACGATCCTTCAACACCGACATTATTCTTCTCAGGGCTCCAGCTTGAGCAGCAGTCGGTCCTCAGAACAATTCACTGGGAGGACATCGAGCCAGCCTCGTAGAAGGATTGGCAACCCAACAGCGATCTTGGCCCTGTCTGTTCTGAGTGGTGTTGTCGGATACACAATCGCCCAACGTAGTTCCCCTCAGGCACCAGCAGGTGGCGACCCTGATCATACAACCTTCGGGACCCCTCGAGATTTCGAGTTGGCCATTATGGAGTTGAAGGACGCCTTCTCGCGGGTCAACGCGGTTTCGACTGACCCCGACGACCTTCATACGCATGGATTCTCCTCGAACATCTATCACCCTGGTATGTGGTCACATTGTGGCTCTGAGAGTTATTGTTCATAATTTTCAGGTGCTTTGCATAGCGTCATCGTCTATCCAGAATCGACCGAAGATGTTGTGAAAGTAGTGAAGATCGCGACGAAGTACCGGATGCCGGTTGTCCCTTACTCCGGTGCTACTAGCCTGGAGGGACATTTCCGCGGTGTAAGATCAGTGGTTCAGTTGAGCCCACTTCCAACGTTGACCACACCGCAGCATGAAGTCGGCGGGATATGCGTCGACCTTAATCGCATGGACAAGATAATCCAAATTAACGGTGAGAAATCCCTCGACACCTGGGATTCGATAATTCATTGACGCCCAAGGTCAATAGAGAAGGATTCGGACATGGTCTGCCAGCCAGCAGTCCGGTGGATGGACATCAACGAACTGCTCAGGGATAAAGGTTCAACAAATTTCACTCCGTCAGATCCGCTCTAACCGCCGTTATTCTAGGAATACCGCTCTTCTTTCCAGTACGCCTTTCCATCAACCTCTAAGCCAGACTTGGCTGACTAACAAAACAAAGATAGACCCAGGTCCAGGTGCAACGATAGGAGGTATGCTGAGCACGGGCTGCTCGGGAAGTAAGTAGCATCACTGTGGCGTTCTTCTCTTCTTTCTCATTTCTCAACCCTCCTCCATTTAGCGAATGCCGTCAGATATGGTACCGCGAAAGGAGAATGGTTCCTGAACGCGGTACGTTTTGTGCTACGATTTTAGCGAGTTGGTATTGAATTTCGTAATTTGGAATACAGACTGTCGTGCTACCTTCAGGAGAAGTGATAAAGACGCGTCGGAGATCGAGGAAGTCCGCGGCGGGGTTTGACTTGACGAAGTTGTTCATCGGCGCTGAAGGGACTCTGGGCATTGTCACCGAAGGTCTGCGCCGCAGGTTTTCTCATCGTTCGGGGTCTCATATCTTTTTCAGTGACAATCCGGCTAGCGCCTCTTTTACCAACCAATGTGGCCGTCGTCCATTTTCTGGACGTACGAGCAGCGACCGAAGCTTCGATAGAAATTATCAACCAAGGAGCTGGTATTCGTCAGTCAATCGTTTCTTGTCCTGGCCTCATCATTTCTCATATATTTCGTAAGCAGAATGTGTCGAACTTATAGACGCTCTCTCCATGAAAGCAACTAACAACTACGGCAAGTCAAAGCGGAAGTGGCAAGAAAAAGACAGCCTATTCTTCAAATTCCAAGGACCTACAGACGCTTCTTTGAAGGAGACCGCTCAGATGGTCAAGAAGATCTCAGAGAAGCATGGCTCGACGGGCTTCGCGCTGGCGAAAAATCAGAAAGAGGCTGAGGAAATATGGACGGATAGGAAGAACCTTTACTATTCGGGGCTGTCTCTCATTCCGGGATCAAAAGGAATTACAACGGACGTTTGGTAAGTCATCTAAATAAACGCCCGTGGCCGTGCGATCTGACCTGGTGGCATACATGTCAGCGTACCAATTTCGAAATTACCCGACCTCATACACGAGACGAGAAAGGATCTCGACAGCGTTGGGTTGGTCTCGCCAATTATCGGGCATGTCGGCGATGGGAATTTTCACGCGTTGTTGCTCTTCAAAAACGATGAAGAGTTTAAGCTTGCGAAGGAGGCAGTTGGTCGTATTTCACGACGTGCGATCGAATTAGAGGGCACTTGTTCGTCGTTCTTTCTGTTCACTTTTAGCCTTTGATCCATCGTCGTTTCTCAGGTACGGGAGAGCATGGTGTTGGAATCGGGAAGAAGGAATATCTCGTCGAGGAGTTGGGAGAAGGAACCGTTGAACTGATGAAAACGATAAAGAAAGCTGTCGATCCGCTTGGGTTGTTTAATCCTGGAAAGGTTCGTTCCTCGTTTCGAGAATCCCTCCAGATGACTCATTGTTATTCTCTAGTTATATCCAGATAGAACGAGACAAGAAAAATGAAATAGAATTTTATTCGATACATATAGATGATGTTTCATGAATTTATCTTCGTCAGGAAACGATTTATAGTCCGACATCCTCCTTTCAAAGTGGGACACCCTGGTCGGCGACTGGCGGCGGCAACCCGTTGCCCACAATGACTGGTGCTCCAGCGCTCGTAACACCATCGATGGTCAAGAAAATATACGCTTTCGCATTCACGCCATCAATCAAAATATCATAAGCTAGAACACGAACAAAGACTCACCAGGCCCAGGTGGGTAAACCCTGTTGTTCGGCGGACTGAGGATCGTGAGTTGCGTCCGGTTGGGCGATAGCTCGGCGGTCATAAATACCAGCCTGGAGCTGGAGTGGAATGCGTGTGAGGAGAAGCCCAGGTCCATGAGAGCGACTGCGAGACATCGGTCCATACTTAGTGTTCCACGTTCTCCGAGGGGATACAGGACCCACCTTGGATATTGGACGCCTCGAGGTCTCTGGGGATGGAGACATCGATGATGAAGGGCGTGTTGAAGGCGATCTTGGCGGGCACGTTGGCCATGACAGGGCGTTCCAAGGACATGAATGGCGGGTTGAGGTATTCGACTCGGAATTCCCTGGATCATCGTCCCGCGAAGGTTAAGTTGCTGCAAATTTAGAAGTGAACTAGAGGACACTCACGTCCCGAACTTTGTTCCATTTACGACCAGGCGGTTGGGGTTAGAGCCGGCTATGAGAATGTTCCTGTGAGAATGCTTGGTCAGTCGAAAATCGTACGCTTTAATAGATGGTTCTCACCCTTGTGGGGTAAGACTGGCCACGGAGTGGTATAGCCGGGCTATGTCGGTCGTCGGCATCCCCTCGTTGCTGATTCGCTTTCCCAGCGGGGCTTCCGGGGTATAGAGGGATGGGGTGAATCTAAAATTTGAAGACGTCAGCCAGCGATGCCAAATGGAAAAAATAAAGGTAGTACACAGGGTGATCTGCGTTGGACGCATTGCCCACGGGATCCTTCACCGAGCCGAACGCAGCGTACCCCGTCTGTCCTCCGTTGATGATGAGAACTTGTCCATTCGGCAGCAAAAGTAGCTCAGGCATGATCCGCGGCTCGAGCATCTCCTCGACTTCCCAGCCTTTCTTGATGCCCTCTGGAGTGAGCGTCATCCGGCTGCACTGTGCTGATGCGGGGTCTTGGGACGATAGATCCTTGGGCTGGATTTGGTCGTTCGTGGATGAGCCACCGCAGACGAGGACTTCCGGGATGAAGTCAGGTGGCGAGAGGGGTAAGAGGGTAGCTGAGCCATCAAGGGGGTTCGTGACGCGAACACCGTTCGGGATGTCTGGAAGCATGGTTTCAGTGTTTTTCTCGATGTCGTAGATGATAGTTTGGTTGTTGGCGATCATAAGAACGGTTCCATCAGGTAAGGCGAAGACCCTGCGGAATAGAATGAAATCGAACAAAAAGATGGATCTTCACCGCGAAAGACGTACCTAGGGAAGAGATTGGCCGGAAGGCTGCGCTCGAGGAACGCAGATGGTCGTGGAACGCCACCATCCTTAGACGGGAAGAACTCGAAGTTGTTGACAGGATCGGTATTGTAGAACGGGGTGTCTTCATGGATACCACCGACGACCATCTGCCTGATGTTAGCCGGCATCTAGCACTGAACAGACCGGGATTACCAGAGACCCGTCGAATATTCTCAAGGATGAGGGATACCATCGCGTCTCTTCGAGGTGCAAGGTTTCTGGATCCTCAAACAAGGTACAGTTCAAACCAATTGGGTCGGCACATGGTTCAAAAACACGGATGCCCATCCGCCCATCAGTTGCAGCAGAAACGATTGGGATATTCCCTCCAACACTGACCTGTAGGTGACACACCCGTCAGTCTGGAGGGATGCAGGACGACTGGAGAAAAAATCTTACCATCGTCCCGTTGCTCAAGAATCCTCCAGAGGCGCAGAAAGAGTCTGAGATGACGCTGAGAGCTGTCGCAGTGTTAGTTTCCATGTTCCATAATGCACCCCAAGCCGGTGCATCATTGATGACCAGTGGATCGTTACTTGCTCGATCGAAGAAGATAGCCAGAGTAGGAGAGACAAAGACAGCTTCGAGAGCAAGTATCCCAGATGTGCCATTCTGGACGAAGTTCCACTCCGCAGCAATCGCGTATCTTACGAGAGTGACGAGAGTGACGAGAAAAGCGAGCGAGCAGGCGAGCTTCATTCCTTCTTGAAATTGGCGATTGTCCGAACTTCAATGTCGCGTTTTATGCACGTTGCTGTGGACTCTCGTGAGTATGCCAAGAGGATTTCCATTCGCATATCGTGGATTGCCGTCCTATAAGCATCGTCTTTCTCAAAAAGCAGAGAGAAAAGGACTGAGAGGGGAACATGTCCAAAGATAACTGGGAACAAATCAAACGGACTTCAGTTCTAGCGCCTTGTGGGGATGCCTGTTCCACGAGACTACTCACGGGTGGTGGTAGTAATTTGAAGCATATGCATCTTCTTGCTGTATAATGATGGTACGGAAGATTGAGGTGGTGGTTGAGTACAGGAAATGGACAAAGATCCATTGTCTTGGCACTTGGAAGCGTGTGAAATCGACAATACGGCCGTTAAGATGCCGACGGCATTTGGATTTGCCGCTTCCCGTGAAACCGACCAACCAACTCAACTTAAACTCAACTGCCTTAAGCTACAACCCTTTCCTTAACCTTCCCTGGTGGAAGCTGGCAGGAACAGGGCATCGATGATATGTATAAACACCACTTACCATTCACTCGAGACTGACAAATGGGGTCTGACCATATTCAATTCTCTAATTCTCGTTAAAAACCTCTTTCTGCTCTATGTCCTCGAGGCGTCGACAGCAACACTTGATCACGCCTTGACTTCAAAGTTCATTCTTTCCAGCCCGCAAATGGATTATCTCGCTGACGACTTGTAACGGCTGTAACGGGCCACCCTAGCCGTAGTCGAGAAGCGACCTGGAGGCCTTGTGATCAAGAATGCTCAAGATCTACTCGGCACGAGGCCTATTACGATTGCTCCTGGGTAAAGGTGCGATTATTTCCTCACCTCCTTCTCTCTCCTTTCGTTCGGACCATGTCTTTTATTCCGCGTGTAATAGCGCGCACATCAGGTCCAAGCCTACGAAACCTCTGTATATCACGACCTCGCGTTCTAGAAGCTAGGCATTTCCCTCGACCATGTCGACGACACCCGTATTCGACCTCAATTCCTCCGATTTCCTCTGTCCATATCAGCCAACTCGTGCTTGTCTCTCTGGCAAGCTCTCTCCTCGGGTTTGGATTGGCAAAGGCCTCATTCTCCCCGTTCAACGCAACAACACACGCAGATCCTTTCTCGACGCAAGATGAACGGCCGAAATTTGGAACCCCAGGAGACTTCACAGCGGCCATTCTCGAGCTCCGAAGTTATTTCAACGTACGAGACGGCGTATCAGTGGACCCACACGACCTCCATAGCCATGGGTTCTCTCCAAACTCCCACCATCCGGGTGTGTCTTCACGAAAGGATGCTCGGCTTGGTTGACGTACGAGTTGAAATTGCGCAGGGGTGGCCCATAGCGTCGTGGTTTACCCTGACTCGACGGAAGACGTTGTCGAGATCGTGAAGATCGCGACGAAGCATCGGATGCCAATCATCCCGTATTCAGGCGCTACGAGTTTAGAAGGGCATTATCGTGGTGTTCGTACGCCTTCTTCAATTTGCTAACCCAGATATTGAGATATTTGTTTGTAGCATCCAGAAGGTGGCATCTGCGTCGACATGACGAATATGGACTGTATAATTGCTATCCATGGTATGGGTTCCTTCGTCTGGCTGTGAACTTCCGGCTTAAATATTAGTCCAGAGGCCGACTCTGACCTCGTTTGCCAACCTGGAGCAAGGTGGATGGAGATCAACGAGACGCTCAAAGAGAAAGGCGTTCCACTTTTCTTCCCGGTATGATTCCTTTCCTGTGCTCATCCGTCTCAAATCCCAATGACAACACCTTTTGCAGATTGATCCAGCCCCAGGAGCAACTATCGGTGGGATGCTCAGCACAGGGTGCTCAGGAAGTAAGCCCTTCCCTTCACCCGATCTTCTGAACTCGGAACGAGCGCTGAATCCCAAACGTGGTTAGCCAACGCTGTACGATATGGCACAGCAAAAGGAGAATGGTTTCTGAACGCCGTGCGTCCCTGCGATCTTCGAGCTGCAGAACAATACCCATCGAGTTATTCTCAAATTTAGATTGTGGTGCTGCCTTCGGGAGAAGTGATCAAGACACGCCAGCGATCTCGTAAATCCTCAGCAGGGTGGGACACGACGAAGTTGTTCATCGGTGCAGAAGGGACGTTGGGTATCGTCACGGAAGGTATGTTTTTTAAAAAATCTGGAAACTCAGGTTAGCCTGACTTTCGACGCTCTCAGTGACGATCCGACTGGCTCCGGTCCTACCGACGACAGTGGGTGTCGTCCAATTCCCTAACGTGCAGAAGGCGACTGAGGCAGTTGCCGAGATCATGAACACAGGCGTTGGTATCCGTGTGTCTTTCCATCTCAGGTCCTCTTCCATCCGCTCAAGTCTCCTCAGAATGCATCGAGCTTGTTGACGATATCTTCGTCTCTGCGGTCAACAAATACGGCATGTCCAAGCGCCGATATCCCGTACAAGACAGCCTCTTCATCAAATTTCAAGGACCCACCTCGCGCTCGCTCGCCGAGTCTGCCTCCATTGCACGCAGCATCGCCGCCAAGCACGGCGGAACCAACTTCTCTCTCGCCCGCTCCGATGAGGAAGCCACAGAACTCTGGGCAGACAGGAAGAACGCGCACTACTCGGGCCTGGCACTGATCGATGGGGCGAAGGGATGGCCGACCGACGTCTGTGTGCCTGTGTCAAAGCTGCCGGAGCTGGTGTTGGAGACGAAGGAGGATATTAGAAAGGCTGGGCTTGTCTCGACGATCGTGGGGCACGTAGGGGATGGAAACTTTCATTCGCTGATACTCTTCCGGAATGAGGAGGAAGAGAAGGTGGCAAGAGAGTTGGTGCACCGGATGGTAAAGAGGGCGATCGCGATGGAAGGAACATGCACTGGAGAGCATGGAGTGGGTATCGGAAAACGGGAATATCTTGTCGATGAACTCGGAGAGGGTACCGTGGCGTTGATGAAAAAGATCAAGAGGACTATCGATCCCCTAGGGTTGTTCAACCCTGGAAAGCTATATCCCGACGAGGTTAAGAAGGAGGAAAGAATGCATTAGAGTTTCGAGTAGAGATCAACTCAATGATAGAAAACAATGCACAATCGCACGAGAGAAAAAGAAAGCGAATAGCAATTTGAGCGAACAAGATGATGCCATGCGTGGTATACATACAGTGCCGACGCCCAACCCAAGAAAACCAGCCACCTCCGACACCTAGTTGACTGCAGCAGGTTGGCCTTCCGGCTTCACCTGCCCTGTCCGCGCAATTGCCACCCCAAGTGCCTGTGTCCTAACCGCAAGCTGCCTTGTCTTCTCGATGACCGTCTGGTATACGGGCAGTGGTGGTCTGTTGATCTCGATGACGTTCTTTTCCAGGTCGATCCTCGCGTCGGCACCGGGCATACGCGTCTCTCTGATCAGGTTGACGATCCACTTCTCGCCTTCGTCTGGCGAGAGATTCAGGCGCTCCGCAAGGCTGCCGATGTCGATCTTGCGGTGGATCCGGCAGTAGGCCTCGGAGATGAGGTATCGTGCATTGTCAAGGAACTCGTCCTTGAACTCGCCCAGGAAGAAGTCGGTGCTGATGACTGACGATGCTTCGCCTAAGGCTTTTTGGGCTGCCTCAAAGTCGAACTCAACGTAGAGCTCGCGGAGGAAGGAGGTGACGGGGTCGGAGTACTGGTACTCCTCCGTCTGGACGACTTTGACAACCTCGCGGATAGCGTTCCGGACTCGAGATGATAGAGGAGTAGCGGCTGTTCCCGCGGCTGTGGGTGCCGAAGAGGCTTTTCGAGAGAGGATGGCGGCTGCAGTGAGGTATCGGAGGATCCATGGACAGGATGTTTGGATAGTGTTGAGGTATGTAGGGGAGAGGAAAGTTTCGAGGAGGAGTGTCCGGCCCTGTTCGTGGTTGAAGAAGACGAAAAGTGACCAATGGACGAACCAGGTGCGTGAATGCAGCTGGGCGAGGGCAGGGTCGGAGATGCTGCTTGAAGCTCCGGAGCTGCGCGAGTCGATGAAATCCCGCAAGGTGTTGAGCTCCTCGAGGGCGACATCCCATCGCCCTGTGAGGATATCGGACGCGAGTTTACCCCAGTGCGCGGAGGTGTTGAGATCATTGTCCGTTGAAAGGACCCGGAAGTGGTACAGATAGTCTGCCGCACCGCTGTAGTTGCCGTAGGAGTATTGGAACTGGCCGAAGTTGTACAAAGCCGTGATTTGTTCGAGGGTAAGCTGGATAAAAACAGTTCAGGATAAATGACACGAACGACCAGCGAAAATACGCACATTATAGTTGTCCTTTAGATACTGCAAGTTCTGATTCTTGTCCTGCCGCAACGCCTGCGCAACATCCGGGTTCTCGATGACATCTAGCACGGCCTGAGCCTCCTGCTGCAGCCTCTCGTTGGTTGATACCACGTTTTGTCGTTTCTGATCAAATTCTGGGATGCGATCAGCACCCTGCCAATCCTGCAGTCCCAACACGCTACTCACCTGGTGGCACTTGCTCGCCGGGATAGATCGCCTTGAATAGCGACACGGCATAGTCGAACATATTCGTTCCTTTTGCAAGCTCATACTGGGCAATCTGCACATCCTTCACGGGGAAGAGGCTGTTTTCAGTGAGATGGGCGAGGAGAGGGAAGGCAAGATGCCGATCTAGGTACGGTATTATCGTTTTTGAGAGGTCGTACTCGGCCATGGCGTCGTCGTCGTTGTAGTCGGCGATGAACAGAGCTAAATTTTGCGACACAGCCGCAATCAATTTGTTCCCACGCCCCTTACCGAAACCACGAGAACAAGTGGCGACTCAATGCCCCATATACTCTGTCTTGGGGCCTTTGCTTGTGCACTTAAGCTAAGAGAGTATGAAAATGAATTTCAATGAGTTTTCTCTCTTCCCAATTAATTGCCATTGATGGGCAATGCGGGATGACACTCACTCCGACTCTCCATAAGTGCAAACTGGCATACCTTAGCCACTCGCAAAACCCAAAATGATTGTCAAGAGTATTCAATTGAGAATAGAGCCTCAGCATGGTCCTTGAGTTTTATTGAGTCATCTTAAACACAACATGTCCAGGCCATATACATATATTCTGATGATAATACTCTCCATCTGAATCAGTGGTGTACGCACAACAGATCTCATGTAAATCTCTCTCCAGGGACAGGATACATTTGGTGGACTAGCAGACAAATATGTTTCTTGTTCAATCCTCATACCAATCAATCTAATCAATCCTGACACCAATCCTCCTTGCAATTTGACGGCGACGCTCCACAACTGTAGTGCCTGCGGCAGGGAGGGGTGGCAGCCCCAATGCAGTGGCAGCCGCAATGCAATCTTGAGCTGAAACATGTATGTAAGTGATACTACTCCTTTTGTCGAAAGTTGGACCTACCAGACATGGTCAACAAATCATCCCTATGTTGCGGTCGGGCGAGTGGTGCAGCCCAATTGCCTTGGAGTTGAGTAGGGTCATACAGAGGCTCACGGTTGCCAGCCCGACTGTTCGCAAGTAGGACTGGTTGTTCGTCAGACCTGTGGAGGAGTCGGGTGACATCCCCCTGCATCGCATTGAAGTTCGCCTGCATCGTAGTGACATTTGCCTGCAACGTATTGACGTTCGCCTGCATCGTATTGACGTTCGCCTGCATCGTATTGATGTCCCCCCGCATTGCCGTTATATCCACCCGGATTGCGTTGATACTGGCGGTGAGCTCTTGAAGCCACGCAGGGGCGGCTGGTCCTTGGTCAACGGCAAATACTAGAGAGGATCTATAAGCCTCGGCCTTTCCAACCACGTCTGCAGTAGCAGGGGCTTGGTGTGCCGGATTTGCTATAGGAATGTCGGCCTCAGCGTGCTATACGTGGCTTCCTAGGACCTAGACACTGACCTTGAGTCCATGAGAGGTCCTCTAGATACTTGCGAGCTGCCGCAATGTCTTCGTACGTGATCGGATCCACGGGGTTGGGGGGAGGAGGAATGCCGGAAGCGTTGGGAGGAGGAACGATGGCCATGGTTTGAGAGAGAGAGAGATCTCGAGAAGGGTGGCACGGTCTCAATCGTAATCAACCAACAGACGGGATCACGTGCAAGCTTCGCGACGCGGTCAAGTCTGCACGTGATGTTCGAGTTTCGCGTTTTTCTCACAGCATTACATAATGGCAAAAGTCGAAAGTCCGGCCCAGTTTTGATTCTTGCATGAAGCTCAGCGATTTTTTTTTCTCTTCACCATCTGCCATTAACGTGAAAGGTAGTGTGCCGCAGATTGGTCCAAGTTCTCTCATGAGCGCAATCGGCGCTCGAGTGTTCACACTTGGGCCAACGAGAATGGTACTGTTTAGCACATTTCAAATACAGCTATGATATTGCTTTACTGATCTACTGAACGACGCTTATTTAGAGACTTTGTACAATCCTAGCGTACTCAGGCAAAAGCTTTCTTGGAAAGTGTCCATGTCTGTCAAATTGGAAAGAATGTTCGATACTAGGCAGGATTGGGGAAAATGAGCGTGTACCAAGAGAAATCGGAGTTGTGGATGGATTCATACAACGCCTGCCACTAAATGAGTACGGACAGCTATTTATCGAAGCCAGCGGTATATAGGACCCATGGATAAGGACGAGGAAAAACCCGACTGAGATCCAGAGCCCGTGGAAAATGGGATGAACCGGGAGTAGATTATAAAATCAGTAGGGATTGCAAGGCTGATGGGGGAATGAGGGAGGAAGCAGCACGAAAGGAGCGGGTGGCCACTGGAGTCCTGATGGAACAACGTAACTGGGGAAGTTGTATGCCGGTGCTGATCGAGGAGCCGTGGACGACAAGTCCAGGTATTGAGGAGGAGCATGATATGGAGCTGCTTGTGGATTGAAAGCAGGCGGTTCAAAAGTTGCTGCATTACGAGGAAAACCCCAAGATGCACTAGCTTGGTTGGGGGCCTGAGGTGGCCACTGAACGGAAGCCCGACGAGCTGGAGGGTTCGGCCAGCTTGGGTCTGGCACCAAGGGAGCACTTGCGATAGCATGCCGGTGGTGTGCATTTTGGTATGCGGATCCAGAGTTCGCTGAGTATCCAGCGTAGTTAGTCGTCGTCCCGTAAGCCTGTCCTGGCATGGGATATGGCCACTGCCCTGCCGGAGGAGCAGGAAGGAAAAACGACGGCGCATGCGCTGTAGCTGGACGAGAGGCAATAGGCGGAGGGCAGGAAGGAGGACGTCGAATTGGTACAGGATAGTCGTAGGAAAATCGCCTCTTCGACTCTTCGTGATTTCTGGCTGCGGCGCGGACGAGACGATCGTTAATGTGGATGCGGCTCTCTTCATCATCCAAAGATTTGGGCTTGTCCGCTTCGTTAAATGTTAAACCCAGAGCAGAGGTTCCGGATGGAGGTCCACCAGAAGCATACGATGCTTGGTGGGGGTTCCAAGGTGGACCCCTACCGGGTCCATGTGGTGCTGTGTTCATCATACTGTTGGAGGGTCAACTTGACGTGAGGTAAGGAGTTTCTCGCGCGGTACCCTCATTGAAGAGCTATTTATAATAGGAGCAAGTTCCCCGATTGTTTCTGCGGTCAACTACGCACAATGAAGCTTCAATAAAAAGAAGAATAGGAAGAAGGTTGCGCAGTGGACGAACAATAAAACAAACGGCATGTTCGGACGGATAAGTGCTACCATCTCAGTCAGCACCATTGTTCTGGACCCACAGTTGTGGAAGTTCAGAGTGACCTTGTCGTTCGCGTAAAGGTATCTTAGAGACTCGCAAAATTGATGTCATAATTCCCATAGTATCATATTTACATAGATATAACATAATTTGAAGAAGGAAGGCAGGCTACTCGGTCGTGCGACAACAAAAGAGTTTTCAACGAGGTGGGTCGGCGCGGCCCGAGAAAGCTTCAACAATAAGAACTCGCCCGCGCTCACCCCTTCCGCCCGCGATGCCACAGTATTTCTTAGCGCTTGTGCGACTTATCCCGGGTCTTGCGCTCCGTTTCGCGCTGATTCGCTGCGCGAATTGCAGCATCCCTGGCGAGAAGCTGCCCACCTGGCTCGAGTTTCCAAGTCAAATAGCCATCAATGTGAGGCCCAATTTCCATTGGGACGCGACAGATTTCCGACGCGGCTGCGGAACCTTGACCCGATGTCTGAGGCGCAGCGCGCGACGCCGCCGGCGAGGTCGCCTTCGTTGAAGTAGCGCTACGCTCCTCCTTCCGCTTGCGATTACGTTCGTCCATCTCCTCGGTGGTGAGATATTTCATCCCCAAGGGATAATGGGGCTTCTGTAGGGCTTGAGAGGATATGTTGGACGCAGCGGGCGCAAGCGAGATGCTGCGCTGCCTGGGACCTCTGGTTGGGTCAGTAACGTTTGGCCTGTTCAGCCCCGCTCGGGGAACATTGGTAGGTGTAATCGGGGGGACCCTTGAGGTCCTTTCAGATGGACGGATGGGGTGTGCTGGGAGCGGTGTCGGTGGCATAGCCGGAGGACGACCGCCAGATGAACCTCCGTGCGTGTGCCCAAAGGTAGAAGAGGCGCGTACGCGAGGAGGGATGGGAAACGCTCGAGAACTCTGAGGAGTTGCACGCGACGCGACGATAGGGCTTCGGGGCGCAGCTACGCGTGAAGAGTTGAAGGGAGCTCTTGGTAGTTCGCGCGTGGACGTAATTGGCGTTCCAAACTCCGTAAGAGGTGGGATAACGAGGGCTGACCTATCGCTTCCTGGGCCGGGAATATGAGGAGAGAAAGGGATTGGGGGCAGGAACCTGTCTTCAGTAGGACTTTCCCCGACGAGAGTCGCGTCGTCGTCCCAGTAGATAGATCTTGTCTTGTCAGGTGCATTAAATACCCTGTCGTCAATAAGATTAACATGACTGGACGGGGTGCGGGAAGACATGTCGGATATTGGGAGAGGTAAGTCTGAAAAATTGGCAGTGAAAGTGGGAAACAAGAGAGGAAGAGGGAACTTTCACTTTTAAATATCTCTGGGACCATTTTCCACTAATGGCAGTGTGGTGGCCCTCACACGGACAGGCAATAGAGGTGGCCCGCCGCCATAAAGTCTCGGCGATCACTTTATGGGGCGTCTCTCCGGACATACTTGGCGCCTAATGCCGCGGTTGGACTTCTTCAGAGGCCATTCAAATCTTCCGAGACCGACAGCTCTTGGTAGTCAGACTACCAGGAGATAAATATCTAGGAGCTTCCCTTTGACCTCTATTCGTGACCATCCATTGGAGCTACAGCCTCCAAACCAATGGGTTGGAGGCCGTGACTTCAGTGGATGATTGAGAATGGCGGTCAAAAGGAAGCTCCTAGGCCTAAATCCTTATCTCTTGGTGGTCTGGCTACCAAGATCTGTCGATCTCGAAAGATTTGAATGGCCTCTGAAGAAGTCTCACGACTGTGATGACATTAGGCGCGCGGCATGTCCTGGGAAGCGCCCCATAGGGCGGTCCGATTCTGTAGATCCCTGTGAGAGCGACCAGCACACAGTAATGAGTGGTACAACTGTCCCAGGAGGCGTATGTTGGACTTACTCTCCGGATTGCTGCGGTGGGTGCGGCGATGAAAAATGATGAAGAGCGTTGTTTCTTAATTGTTCTCGACGGCGATCTTGCATAAATGTAGCGATTTTATTAGAAGTAACTTGACATACAGTTAATGAAGGTCCTCACCCGTTAGGTCAGACCCACGCTTCCTCATTTGAAGAACGTCGTCCGTGGTCGGATTGGATGCGCGTCTCGACGACGGCATGACTTTCGAAGAAAATGTTCGAATTCTCATGGGCGCAGGCGTCTGAAGAAAGGTCTCATCTGGATCAACTTCGTGAGGTCCACAAGTACTTACTCTTGTCTTCTGCAGCCCCTCGTACATCTTTTCCCATATTTTCTCCGTTATAAACCGCTGTGGCCGGCCCGAAATCGATGGCCCCCAACGTCCAGGATGTCAGGATAGTAGAAAGGGCCTTCCGCATCATGTGGTAGATCGTAAGTGTCATTCAACTGGATTCGATAGGCTTTACAGCCGCTGGAGAGTCGCGAGGCTTAACGTGTAGGAGGATCACTTTCAGGGACTATCAGAAAAGCAGCTGAGCGAAGAAGAGATGACTGCAAATACATACCTGCCCATGCCGCGGGTCGCATTACTTGATAGAAGACACCTTGAGCCGGGTTGGATCCGGGTCCTGAATAAATTCAGCGAGGCATTCATAATAGAGGGATTATCTAGAGTGGCAAATGAGCTCATGCTCGACGCTGGTAAGATGATGGGGATAAAGAAGAGATTTGGAGATGTTTGTATTAAGATCCGTGGGTATGCTGCGAACAAGCCTGGTGGGCGTGCCGTGGTGGGTCCAGTGGACCTCACTAACGCGATAGATAAAATCTGACTGTTCTCGTTGCACTCTATCCTCACCAGAGTGATTATTCTAAAGACGGGCATTTGCTAGCCTAACCCCACGGTTCACGTTATCCAAGAGAGTCTCTGGGAGCGAGGCCAAGAAGTCTCGAAAGCGAGGGTTGAACGTTGAACGTTGAATATTTGAATGTTGAACGTGGAGGCGACACCTGCTGCGGTTTTCTGGCTGTGGATTGATGGGAAACGGTCCAGGCCTCTTTGTGTATGCAAGACGAATTTGGGACAAGATTGCGTCAGGCATCATCCACACCGTCACTCCGAAGACAGACAGACGCGCGTCTCGCTTCAAAAATACCTTCCTCTTTCACATCGTTGTTTTTTACTAACCAGCCGTTTTTAGCCGCACATCGCCCCAAATTGCCTCGAGCCGCCTTCTTAGACGCCCGCAGGAGCAGGCACAGGATGGTCACACGACTGTCGCAAGCGAGCTATTCTGGCGTTAGCGCTCGCTTTAGAGTCGGCCACCCGAGAGTTATGCATATTCAAGCCACTTGCATTCCTATCATTTTTTGCGAATGTGAGGAAACAAAAGGAAGATGGTACCCATTAGTCCTTCTTCCACAGGGAACGGAGAAAGCAGTGGGCGACGCTTGCGAGTTGCCTTATATCGTCTCAAAACGGAGTCGATAAACGAACGGCTCTATTCTATGTTGTTTGAGAGAGGATAAAAGGTCGGGGTATCTGAATGGACCGTTCAATACGCCTCTTCCCATCCCTTGCATCCTCCTTTCCAGGACTCCTTTTCGGCCTCTGCAGGGACGAACCTATCCGACGCGTCGAATGTAAGTTTCTCAGTGCCTTCCCTGCTCCCTTCGTCTGTCTCACGAGAACATCGCTTCAATTTCTTCCATCAAAACCAACTCCTTGTTCACGACTCTCACCTCTTTGGCACCCCTCCCATTTCTTCTATTGCCAATCTTACCCCGCACTCATACCTCCTCTTCGATGTACTGAACGTCTGGTTCGTGTCTTTCAACCCACGGACACCACCCCGCATGCATTTCGACGGGCGGCATTCGCATCCTTCACTCCCTCCACAACTCTTACCATACCCTCTTTCCAACATCGGGACACGCACTCGTCGTCGGCGTCGACTCGTTGCTCCCCAACGCTGCTGGGGTATTACCTCGAACAAACCCTCTCCACCGGATCATCTTACATTCCATCGGCCGTTCACGCTGACGCGTCGACGATCCAACTCGCTTCTGCATTGTGCAAACCATGGGCGCCACACCACGCCCAATGCCTTTCCCTTCTCCCGCGAAATTACAAACACGGCGTCGCTATCAATAAATATAAAAACGTACTCTCGTCTCCGTCGTTTTTACAAAATGTTACAGCCCTTTGCAAAAATAATGGCAGTCAGGCGATCGAACAAATATATTACATCACTGATGGACTTAGAAAAAAATCGGCGGAACGAAGACTTAGAGAATTTGGCTGAGGTTCGAGCCCAGGCGCTACCGCATAATTTACCCCAGAGTTCCGCCTCACCCTGGCCTTGGGACCTTTCAGAGAGAAATCATGATTTCTACACCATGGAAGGATGGTGAAGTTGACATTCCACAGAGGGACGATGGCCTGCAACCTCAATGCGAGGAGATGATATGCACAAGAGTGTCCATAATTCTTTGGATAAAATATAAAATTGGATCATACACAACCGCTAACGAGCCTATCCGTTCTGCGTCACCAAAACACAGATCCGATGGGCTTACCGAGCCACACTAATATGCCTCGAGCTCCCGAGCAGTGTCTCACCAATGCCAAGTCCCATGATGATCACTAGGACATACATTGAACGGAGGCAACTGCAGCAAGAAGGCTTGTGTGCTGGGGCGTAGGCATCCGAAGACGAGGACGCAGACGACCTTGAGCGTAGGGCTTCGTATTCTACTTTGCTTCGGATTAGATCGCAACTCAAGAATGGAGGATCTGTTCCCTACAAACAAGAAACCCGTCAGATATCCCCCAAATCCCAAGGCAACTGCTTACCTCCATCTCCAGAACACCTCCACCCCTGCCCTGATACCTGCAATCACCAAGAAGACTATACCCACACTTTTACCAGCCATCGTGCCCATGGAGGGTGAAGTGAGGGTAGGACATCATGTGGTGGCTGGCCTGGCCATGGTGTCGGTGCACATGTCCATGTCGTTGTCATGGCCTTTGCGTTCCGGCATGCCGTGGCGAGGAGGGTGAGAGAGGGTAGCAGAGAGATGGCAGTTGGGCGTTGGAGAGGACATCGTTGAGTTGGGTGGAGGTTGTTATCGACGATCGTCTTCAATGTCAACGTCTGGTTTGAGTATGAACTCTGTCAACGTGGCTTCTTGCGCTCAAGAGTTACAGGGCCGAAGGAGCGTCTGGAGAACAAGCTCAGTTGTGAGTTGGCCGAACAGATCCATGAGGATTGAAAGGAGAGTTGTAGGAGATGCCCGCTTGAGGCTGGAATCGACTAAGTCACCAGCGCGGCCAGAATTTCTAAGTCCATCAGTGATGTAATATGTTTGTTCGATCGCCCGACTGCCATTATTTTTGCAAACGGCTGTAATACGAATTGCGCGATTGCGTGTACTCAACTCGCGATCGCTCGGTGCTCGGTCCGATCGTCACCTGTGCCACACTTAATCCGTAACCGCATATGGCGAACGCGCTCATCCCGCAGGTGTCCAAATGCACAATCTCAATCACACGAGAACTCAACGACTCCAGACGCTCAACAGACGGGTGAAGAGACGCCCCTAGTCCGAGTATGCAGATATCTCTCTCACGAATATCTCGAAGGACGGGACGTCGACCTGGCACAAGAACCGGAGATATTCCTTTCGCAGATTGCGGATGATCCTCAGGCGACAGAAGAAATTCTAAGCTCCAACGCATTTGAGGGAACTTCGCTCCCAGAACAATTACCACTGGAGTTTAATTCCGCCATTATCCAGACCTTGCCATTGGAATCGACGAGAGGAGAGCTGAGCGGGTTCATGATACTTGAAGTGGAGGAGGGAAATAAAGTGGGGGAAGTTATCCTGGACATCCATCAACACCTTGCCTCAAGTTCACCATGGCGGGACTTCAGACACATTTTCCTCCGCGGGATCTCGTACGGGCACCAAAACATGAAAGCAGCTATCACTCTTCACATCGTTCCAGAATAATCGCTCACTGCGTCTGATAAACGGGTGAAAATTATCTGAGAGGTCGAAGTTGACAATAAAATGTTAAAAGCTCACATTAAAATGTTAAAATGGAATTTGTAGTCTCAGAGTTTCGACCACTTCCCCTCGCTTTCTCGCTTGCGATCGCTGCGTTAATTTTTTGCTGAATTCCTGGCTTAGACGTCTGTCTTCATCGGTTGTTATGTGATACCCAGACTGAAGAAGGGTTGGTTGGAACGGAAAAAAAGTTGCCCGCTGAAATGTACTGACCACCTTTAAGAGAGAATTGGCCGTGATTTGTCCGCGATCATTAAAGGAGAGAGCTCATGAGAGTATATGAGCTGCGACACACCATCTATGAAACCGTCAGGCCAGAGCATCAAGTCTCCATCTAGCACTCACAAGCTGCCATAGGAGTGAGGCATTATATACAAGGAATATTTGATCAGAGGACCGGATGTGTACTCACCCCCTGGTCGTTCATTCGCAGCGACGTAGATCACACATTGACGTCAGGACACGAAGCAAGATCGCACAAGAAACCTACTGCCTATAGGGTAGAGCAATGAATGAGATGCAGTACGATTTGCTGAGTATTGTCAATATAGAGAAACGCTCACATTCTAGGATGTAAATGAGAATGTGACGGGTAGTGCACATGGAATAATCCTTTCTTACCTGCTGTGTAGTGTGAGTGTTCCAAGATTGATCGGAGACTGATATGTGAGCTCTTAATTCGATCTTTTATGAAGAGCGTAACGCACGTGCTGTAGAAAGACGGTCTTTTGCAAGTAATGATAAACTTAGAATATACGGCTTACCTCAACAACCATGTCGAAAGAGATGCTACGGTTGACATAGTTTTTGGGGTAACCATACCAGATATATTTGTAGCCGTAGGTTCGTTTCCTAGGATAACCTTTCGTCCCAAGCATTGTTAGTTGCGTCTTTCGACCACACCCGGGGCTAAGTATCCCGAATGAGCCCTGCTGTCCGGGGACATTGAATCAAGCACTTGCCATTCGACCCATCCCGATTCGGAAATGTGCTCAACCGAGACGCTGAGAGGGCATCGAGTGCACTTATACGTGGATAATCTACCCTCGGGAACTCGCCTCCAGGTAAGGGCCGCCATAGTTAGCTTCATCCCCTTCCGGACATGTTTAAAATTACGGTAAATGTCAACCTGTAGGCCTGCAAGATCCTCGCAGAACAACGTATAATCACCCCACTCGGCCTGGATTTGACCGGGCGTGTGTTGGTAGTAAGACTGAAGTGTGAGACGCATTTTCTGTGCAGAAATTAATATCGAACAGACGATTATATTCAAGAACGATAAGCTCACATCCCAGGAAAAACACAGTTCCCAAGGAATGATGAGGGTCTTATTCATGAAGTCAACGATCTCGAGACCGTGTTGACGGCTGTAGCCGACATGCGTTGTGAGATGGGTCGAAGCGACGATCTGAGTAGCAAAGGAAAGACTGAAAATAGTCAATGACCCGTCAATAATACACCAAGATGAGAAATGAGCGGACCTTTTGAGTAGCACCGAAAGCTGCAGACGATGCCCGTTCATCTTCGCCTGGATCTTCGTTACGTCTTCCTTCCGGAAGAGCGCCCACCAGACCTTGCGAAAGATCACTCGCATTGAGTGCCTCCGTCGATTTGTGCCTCCCGCTGCGTTCAGTGCCCGATGATACGGCCGGATTGTGTCCACAAACGCAGTGACAAGCGACTGACATCGTAGGATCTCGCCGTGTATGGAGTTCAATGCCGCTTGATTGATGGGGGAGACAGAAATAGTGTCGAGCGTGCCTCTCACGACATAGAGCATATCGCAGAATGCGGTGAGCTCTGTGACGAGCTCCTGGTATTCGGCGGATGCGCCGGATGTCTCATTCACAGCTTTGACAATGGATGCGATGATGGTGCCGAGAGTGACGAGGTCGCCAATCGATGGAGCGAGCGCCATGGATTGTACGATCAACGAAGATGGCTCTGGATGGGGGGATAGATGTAGGTTACTGGTGAAAACATATTCGAACACGAGGCCAGTCATCGCCTCCCTCGAACGGTCGTATGAGGGATTTTGACAGATGTACTTGGATTCGCTATCTTACAGCATCCTTTGTGGGTCCAGAAGTTGTCAGTAGTGTCACTTTGACCGCAGGGTCGGGAAGAGCCTACCTTATTTGTCGACGTGAACGGCGAATTTACCACCGTTGGCGTGTGCGGAGAATGGCAAAGCTAGGATGATGAGGAACACCGGCGCCGTTGTTCAAGGTGGTGTCACCTCTCCATCACGGTCTTCTTGCGGTCTGCTGCTCTTGTTGCACGACTTGCAGGCAATTATTCAGTCTGCTGAAATATTTGAAGGTGGTGGTCTATAGTCAGAGGAAAAGAAAAGATGGGTGCACGGGCCAAGAATGTTATCCCGCTTAATCCTCTCGGACCGAACCAACCGGGTCCAGACCCCCTGATCAAAACCGTCGCACAGCCACACAATAGCCAAATAGCCAACCCTTCAAATATGCATTATGCTCCAGCTAGAGGAATACTCGCTCTCAGTATATCGTTCTCGTCCTTGCCGAACAGTGAGCGCATCTGCGTCTGTACCTTTCAACGGACTTCTTGACGTCCCATCAAAACCAACTCCTTGTTCACGACTCTCACCTCTTTGGCACCCCTCCCATTTCTTCTACCGCCAATCTTACCCCGCACTCATACCTCCTCTCCGATGTACTTAACGTCGCGGTCGCGTCCTTCAACCCTCGGACGCCATCTCGCATAAAATTCGACACACGACATTCGCATCCTTCACCCCCTACGACTGTAACAACATTCTCTCTCCATCCCGTTTCCAACATCGGGACACACTCGGCGTCGGCGTCACCACATCCGCGGCATCGACTCGTTTCTCCCCAACGCTGCTGGGGTATTACCTAGAACAAACCATCTTCATCGTATCATCTTACCTTCCATCGGTCGTTCTTACCATCCAACTCGCTTCTGCATTGTGCAAACCACGGACGCCACCTCACGCCCCGTGCCCTTGCCATCTCTCGTGAAATGTCGAACACGGCGTCGTCGCTATCCATTTCAAATATAAAAACCCACCTTCATCTCCTCCATCGTTATTATAATTTATTAATGCAAGATGCGTAATTGCGTGTTTCTTCAATCCGTCATCGCTCGGCGCCCGGCCCGATCGTCACCCTGCGCCACACTCAATCTGTAACCGCAAATGGCGAACGCGATCATGCCGCAGGTGTCAAACTGCACAATGCCAATCGCATGGCGCCTCAGTGCATCCCCACGGGGAAGCACTCATGGTTAACAGATATCTGTCTCACGAATATCTCGCAACGCGGGACGTCGACTTGGCCCAAGAGCCGGAGGTGTTCCTCTCGCAGATCGCCGATGATCGTCGGGCGGCGGAGGATGTCCTGAGCTCGACAGCACTCGAAGGCACCTCCCTCCCAGATAGAATTCTAGTCGAATTCAAATGCACGGTGGGGCACGGTTCCTTGAACCAATCGCCGCGTATTGAAGTCTACACACATCACATCCACTTAAACGAGCTGCCTAAAACGATAAGAGAGGTTCTCCTGGATACCTGTGAACATATACGGTCTATTTACTTCTGTGATAGCAGACATAGGGAAGGCCTCGAACACATTTTTCTCCGTGGCATGTCATACATCCATTCCGACGTAAGGATCCTTGCCATCCTTCATTTCTCTCCGGCACAACCTGAATTATCCAGGATCGTCGGCTGACAGACGTGTAAGTACGGTTCGGTAATGCAAGATTCAAACTTTACACTGATATTAAAAGGCGATATACGTTTCCAGTTTGCCGACCTTCTCTCCTTGAGCCCTTGCTTCCCTCCGGTTCTTCAACTTCAGGTCGAATTCCCTGTGGAGTCGCCAGTCTTCATCTGTCTTCAGGTGCTGGTGACCCTGGAAATAATGATAATCATGAGCGGAAAATCTACTCGTTCGCCGGCCGGATTACACGCACTATCTTTAAAACATGTAATGAACGTCGACATGCTAAATGACATGTATACGATCAAGGAAGTTCGACATACCCCCTAGCGCTAGTTAGATGCGGGCCAGTACCACCAACTCAATAACTTACGGGCTAGGGATGGTGTAAGCACTAGGGTAGCCAGAACCTTCGAGTCACTTACGCCCTATGCCAATCATGAGAAGATCGTTCGCCACTTCCCAGGAGATGAAAAGGAAAGGCACGCACAGCCTACAGACACGTGAGGTACCCGAACGTAAGACGCTCAATCCCTGAATAGACACTGGTCCGATTACTCACACCCTACTTATCAACGTGAGGGACAATCGAAGGGCTTGTCAACCAAAATACCCACCTCCTGTCGCATTTATTGAGAAGGACGCAGATTTGAGCATTAGCCATGGCAACTACTGGCATCTTTGGCTGGACGTACAGGCTGGAAGGTAAGTTAGAACCGTAGAATTTCACCGGAAAACAACGTAAGCCCACCTCTACCACAACATGGACATTCTTGAAAGCAGGGCTACTGTTGACATAACTCCGAGGAAACCCGTACCAAAGGAACTTGTACCCATAAGTGCGCTTCCTGGGGTACCCTTTAGTTCCAAGCATGGTGACCTGCGTCCTCCGATCGCAACCGAAGCTGGATAGAATAGCGTAAGTGATGGATTCCTGAATCGAATAAAAACTTTCCATTCAACCCAGCCTGATTCAACAATATCATGGACCGGGAGCCTACGATGGCATCGCGTACATTCGTATTGGGACAATCGACCGTTGTCGGTTGCTCGCCAAGTGAGTGCGGCCATCCTTAGCCTCATCCCTTTCCGGACATGTCTGAACGGGTAGTGACGATCAACCTGTATACCACCCAGATCCTCGCAAAACAAAGTGTAATCCCCCCATTCAACTTCCTGTTGGCCAGGCTTATGTTTATAGTACGCCTGAATGGCTAGACTCATTTTCTGTATGATGAATATCAAAGTCAATATAGCAATCAAGACAGCGTAGCACACACCTCCCACGAGTGACAGAGCTCCCATGGAAAGACGAAGCTCTCGCCCATGAAGTCAATAATTTCGAGGCCGGTCTCGCGACTGTAACCGACCTGAGTCGTAACTTGGTTGGAAACTGCAGCCTGAGTCACAGGCACAGACAGGCTGCTCATAATCGTAACATCGTCTCTGAAAGCAACAACGAATACCTACCTAGTTAGCAAGAAGACAATCTGAAGACGATGCGACATCATCCTCGTCTGCACCTTCGAAACGTCCTCCCGGAAAAGCGCCCACCACACCTTGCGAAAGATCACGCGCAAGGAGTGCCGCCGTCGACTCGTGCCTCCCGCTGCGTTCAGAGCTCGGTGATAAGGCTTGATCGTGTCTACAAACGCATCGACGAGAGCACGACATCGATTCATCTCCATGTGGATCGAGTTGAAGGCAAGCTCGTTGTCGGGCGAGATCGTGGCATTCTCAAGGGTGCGTCTCATAATGGTGAGCATGTTGCAGAACGAGTTGAGCTCATCGACGAGCTCCTTGTACTCGGCGGAAGCGCCAGATGTCTCGTTCACGGCTTTGACGATGGATGAGATGACAGTGCCGAGAGTGACGAGGTCGCCGATCGATGGAGCGAGCGCCATGGGTTGTACGATGAGACGAAGATGGCTCTGGATGGGGGGATAGATGTAGGTTACTGGTGAGAATATATTCGAACACGAGGCCAGTCATCGCCTCCCTCGTACGACCATTCGAGGGATTTTGACAGCATCCTTTGTGGGTCCAGAAGTTGTCAGTAGTGTCACTTTGACCGCAGGGTCGGGAAGAGCCTACCTTATTTGTCAACATGAACGGTGAAATAACCACCATTAGTGTGTGCGGAGAATTCACGCCAAAGGCAAAGCTAGGAGGATGAGAAACTCGGAGGCGACGCGGGACGCTCAGGAAGGTGGCGGTCAGAGGGTAGTCTCGACAGACCTAATAGACAAATGCACGGGCCAAGAATGCTATCCCGCTTAATTCTCTCGGACCGAACCAACCGGGTCCAGACCTCCGTGATCAAAATCGTCGCACAGCCACGCAATAGGGAATATCGCTCTCATCCTTGCCGAACAGTGAGTGCATCTGCGTCTGTACCTTGCACAGGACTTCTCGACGTTCAACTGTCATGGTGGGCCCACGCGCTCGAGGCAAACAGATACTCCGTGAATATGTCGTCTTCGACGCATCTTGCCGTGCCAAATCCATACACCTATGAATAACTCGCATCTGAAGACACACGAATTTCCGCCTGCTTTTGGGCGTCAGTCATCGAAACGGAGCTCGGCGGAGTAGAGCTCGTTGGCAGACGGACTAGGATCTTGCAGGATGTCGATGAGGTTTCTTCGAGACGAGGCAGGTTTGTGCAACATCAGATCCTCTCTCTTTTCCTACTGAACCTCTCGCTTCCCTCAGAATGTTTTCCTGCTATTCTCATTTCAACCGGACGACGTCGACCGTGTCCAAAGGAGGTCGAAGGTTGCGGGATTGGATTCCCGATAGCTCCAGTGATCCTCAACTGGAATCCTACCCCCCCCAAGTTTATATGTCGTCCGTTATCCCACCATGGATCCAAACACTGTCGAACTCCCTAGGCGCATGGCAAAATTCATAATTCGCAGCATACAGCATATGTTCATACAGGAGGGAAGCAAAGTACGTGTTCTCAAAGTCCTCGTTGTCCATCTACATCACCTCGACGTTCCGCTCGAACAGAAAACCGTCTTCCATTGCGTCGTGTGGCACATGCGGCACGTAGACCGGCCAGTGCCCATTCAACCGGCGCATCGTGTCCATAGCCCTGTCCACAACGACCTCTTCTCCAAGGTTCTGTCTCTCGGGGACGACGGAGAAATCTCCGAATGCGGAGAACGATCGGGACCGCTGGAGAGGCCGGTTCAAGAGTCGTGGCTCGAGCTTGGCCGCGGATTGTGCCGCATCTTGCCTTGCTCGAGGAGCTGCATGCCGACTCCTGATAGAGAAAGCGCGGTTTCTCTTTGCCGGAGAGTCACCCTCGACGGTCTTCTGGCTCTCGCCGGTCGGGCGGCGCTTCAAGCCGAAGCTGAAGACAGACGCGGACGAGGACCTGACGTGCCCACTTCGCGCCGCATGAGGGAATTCGGAGACGGGATTGACGACGGGCGTGCCGTGAGGAGGGTCGAACCGATAATGGGCGCTGGTCGTCGTAGTGGGCGATGCGTCGACCTTAGGCTTAGCCTTGCTGGTGAGAGCTTTGACCACACTCTTTCGGATGACCTTGTAGACACTCGGAGCCCGTTTGCGCGACGTTGACTTGATGTCCATAGAGGTAAACGGGTCGGGGTTGGCGAGAGGGCTGTCGATCTTCGAGGCCTTCGAATCAAACTTTGACACGACTCGCTGAACAGCACGAAGAGGCTTAATTGTAAGCCTGCTCGAGGTGCTGCCGACAGAGGAAGCGATACTCTTTGCATCGCTATCCTTGCGATGCATGGACCGGCCGTGGCTGTCCTCCTTCGCGACCTTGGCGAAGTGGACTCGCGGGAGACCGATGGGATTATTGCCGAGAGGCTGAGCGAGAGGCCTGGTAACGAAATACCTGTAGCCATCGTTGAGAGTGTCTTGGGAGGTTCTGTCGCCAGAGCCCGCGCTACCCTCTTCATGAAGCTCTACCGTCGCCAGGGTTGACGACGAGGTCGAAAAGTTAGTGGGTAAGTTAATCCCCATCGACAAATTTCTAGAGCCTTCCTCCCGTCTAATCTTCTTCAGCGCCTGGCGAGTAAAGCCGGAATAGTCAAATCCCGGGAATTCGTCGTCGTACAGAGACATCCTTTCACACTCGCCGTCGACAGAAGGTGACATAGGCCGAGACCGGCAGTAGATACCGAGCAGCGACTCGGTGAAGGATTCCACAGGAGAGTCGCATCTTCGAAGATCATCGAGGGAAGACCGTCGGCTGACGGTTTGGACGTAGGACGTGTCGATTGGAGTGGTGAGAAAAATGTCGGGGACGGTTCTGTTTTCCATTGGTCGGGATGGGTACGGGGTTGGGGTGAGCGTATGGAAGAGCTCACGCAGTTATATGCGCCTCGCTTAGTGCATTGTTTGCAACTGTCTTGGGCCACGGCGGAGTGGCCTCACAAGGCCACCGGCACCTTACGTAGTCCGTTCCCATAAAGGAAATAAAGAGTGTGGCACAAGCGGCAGAGCGGGCGGTTGAAGGCCGGAGGTCCACACGCTTAGCTCACGTGCATGTTCGCTTGTTCACTTTGGAATTCCGTGTCCGTGGTTGAAGTGGCCCACACCCATGAACAATGCGAGCGCTCGTCCAAATGAAGGTCGCCGGCCGATCCATGCCCAACGGCCACAGATCTAGTCGGTCGGTCTGTGCTATGAAGGGGAGGAAAGTAGCTCAAACTCTGAAGCGCGCGAGTCCAGGGATTTCGCATCTCTGACGCTCATCGACACGACTTATTCTTGTGTCAATCATGCCCAATCAGCACAGTACACAGCTCCACATTGCGACGTTTGGGAGACTCAATTGTCGAGGGGGGGTCCCATTCGACCTTCTTGGGGCAAGTGATTCGAAGCCTAAGGCTCCTTAGGCCTCAGGAGCCGATAATAAGAGATGAAAATTTAACCCTGTGATCCCATGACCTGGCACGAACTATCATTACGGGGGGTCTAAAAATACTACTTATCAGAGGGGCGAGCGCTGTGAGGGCGAAATTATGAATGAACTACACATACTGCTGAGACTCATCGATTGACGTCAGGGGACGAAGACCCTCGAAATATTATAATAAAGCTACAGGCGTTCATTATTTAATTGTTTCCTACTGAGGCAACCATAAGGCAGTACTTACTCTAGGTCTTAGATGCTATATCGTGAAGCTAATGAAGGGAGTGACTATGCAGGGGTTCAAACGTCCAATCTCGGCTTAATATTCTCGCAACGCGCAGCGCCTCCTTTGTCGCCTCGTCCAAACTATACCCGTTATACGGAGCTACTTTTCTATCTGCGTAGTTGATGGTACTCTCCCTGGCCCTCGCTGTTGAGAACGAAACGCGATCAGTGGCGTCTTTCTCCTCCATGATTTCGTTGCTCCAGATCAGAGGAGTCATGGGATCTTGACTGTCCCGTCTCCTAGACTTCTTTCGGTGGACAAAATAGGCTCGAAGATGTAGGAGTGGCGTAGCGAGGAATTTGTGCGATGCATTCGGAACCGTGAGGTGTGTGGCAAGGTGGTCTATCATCTCCTCCTCTTTCATGGGAGGAGGATGCTGAGCCTTCATCTCGCTTGCGTCGACATCTCGAACAACATCTTCGATCACCCGCCCTCCAATGATACGAGCTGCCCTGTTTTCTGCCTTCGAGGGTCGATAAATAGATGAGCGCCTTACTGCCCTCAAGGGAATGATGGGCGCTGTCGGTTTTGAGAGAGGGTTGCCTTTGGCCCTCGCCCCTACTTCAGCACCAAATAAAATGTCGTAATAAGATGCGTTACTCGGCATCTCGTTCGACAGGAAATCTGATATTGGAAAACGCCACGATTGTGGGGTGCCAGGGTATGGAGGTGGCGAGGATGGCGGGTAGTGATGCATCGTATTCCTCGGAGAACCAGTCGCCAAGGAAATGGATAGTAGGAAATCGTTGGCGCCGATATAATGCCTTCGGATTCGGAGGAAAGCCGTCCAATTTCCGTTGGTCCGCCTGCGGGAAAGGGTACCCTCTAGATGAAAGACCCAATGAACACACACCAACGTCGACGAAGGGATTAGCCGCCCGCAGAGCGGAGCCTGTCTTGAAATTGACGATATGGTTAACATAATGAATGTCAAAGTCGTCGACGATCCTCTACCTGATTGAAGAGACAAATGACCGAATAAATCGATACTAGTAGTGCGAGATGAGAGAGAAGTGCAGGAAATGCGATGGATAGGGCCCTTATGAATACTTTATATATACCGTCTAGAATCGTCACGACGGTGTGGATGATCAGATGCATCGTCCACCTCGGTAGTACATAACAATAGAGTATATTGTTCAATGACTTGATTGTAGCCGTACCATTAAGATAAGATCAACGTCAAGAAGAGAGAAAAAGGTTATAATTGTCAAGCAATAAGTTCTATTGTCAATCCTGAGTCGCACCTGCTCCTTCCACAGTAACACTAATTCCGCAGCGCGGCCGTAGTTCAGACACCAACGTAAAGGATCCGTTCCTTCGGCAACGCGAGCATCTTGCCGGGGTGTGCGAAGTTAAGGACGTACATGGCTATAACGATCATGGCTGCGTCGAATATGTCTATGTTGGTGCGATGTCAATTTAGCTCAGCGCGGGGAGAGATTGGATCCCGGAGAAGCTCACTAAAATATATCTCGGTCCTCATGATTTCCCCATCCCACCCGTCCGCAAGTTCAAGGACTCGGTACATGCCCCTGTTCCTGGCCATGAGTATTCATTCGAAAGGATCTTCAATATGAGACTTGCCGAATAAAGAGAACGATTATGCTGACAGCGAGAGCGTAAACCATGATCTTCAGCTCCCGGCGGAAGCGTCCTCTGACCCCATCTTCGGCATCGGCAGTGGCGGCGTCACGCATAATATCTCCTCTGAAGGGCGAGCGCTTGTTGTATCGGACAAGGTATTCGATTGCAGTGATGCTGAAGCCAAGGATGGCGACTGGTCCGATGATGAGTTGACGACTATTCACCGTGACTACTCGAAGTTCGAACACTCACCGACTTGAAGGATGATGCCGCCTAACATCACGTTGGATCCCTATCGAGGAGGAACGTTAGTGATTAATAACCAGGATATGCAACGCAGAGGACGAACCAATTGAGCTCCCTCTTGGTCTTTCGCTGAAGATGCGATTCCACCGCCACCGCCTTGAACGAGGAGAGATACAACGTCCTAAATTTGGAAGATGAGTCTCATGGCCACCGATGAAGGGATTCGTGTGGCGAACGCACAATACCGCAGAAGAGCGCAGTATCTGCCCATGGTCAGTGAGAATACGGTGCTCTAGAGCTTTTAGAGACTCACATGTTCGAGGTCGGATCCTGGAATAAGCCGGGCCCAACTGCCTTGTAATCCTTCCAAAGATGACGAAGTTGGCAGCGAGGAGAGGTGTTGGGCCGAGAACGGTCGTCGAGATTCTGTGAGGTGAGCTTAGCCTTCAGTCATAGAGATGTGTGGAATTATTCATACTGGATTTTGAATGGCATGCTCTCGAGCGGCTCCCAGCTCGACCACAGGCGAGCTCCCCAGCCGATGGACTCGAGAAAGCCGCACAGGATGACCGTCGGTATTATGAACCACATCCGATATTTTATCATTTGTATACAATGAAGGCCTGCGTTTCAAATGTTCAGCGGACGGAGATGGAGGGAGAATTTAGATGGCAGGGAACAGACCGGTAGAAAAGACGAAGAGGATTAGGAAGATGATGCCGACAGCGCGAGTAGGGACATAGCCATACATCGACTCGTCTGCAATGGAAATATCATCTTAATATGCGATAGTGGGCAGGAAGGCGTCCTTGTAAGTCGAGGAGCGTAGCGAGGGAAGTAACGACCTCACCTGATCCGGGCGTCGACATGTCTGTACCGGGAAGAGGAAAACGAAGTGGGTGTTTGTGTTGTCAAGAACGTTCTATCTTGCCAGCCTTTATACCTGCTGGGTACCTACCGCGCGGATGTTAGATACGCAGCAATCACCCAGCCTCGTTCCGTTCATTGATGCAGAATAATCCTCCATAGGAAGATCATTTGGCACCGCGAAAACGCATAAAAACTTGCAAGAAAAGACTCACTCACACTTTCGAAGGACAATGCCCACACCCAGTAGCACCAACTTTTGAAGAGCTAGAGGGAGGAAATACAACAGTTTTGAGGCTTTTTGAAGTCGATCTGGAGTCCGCGCATTTTTCGGCTGCCGGCGGCGGCCGCTCGATATAGGGAGCCGCTCAGGGCAACCTAATGACCCGCATCTATGCAAAATGACGCAGATTAGCCATTATCACAGCCATTATATACGCCTTTATACTTGGACAAAAAATCCAAAGACTAAGAAATAGACAAACGTTCCCCTAACGCGAAGGAGTTCTACGTGTGGAAAAGTTGCCCAATGGCTGCCAAGCTCCAAGCCTCATCGGACCGGTCTTCCGTCAGCGCAGATTCCGCAGTTACTGCGCCACACTCTGTAGCAGGAAAAACGAAGCGCTACCAAGGTAATCTGCCGCTCGCGCAGCAAAAGACAAAATGTGTGGTTCATCGGCACTCCCTCTTGCTTTAGTCTCGATAGTCCTGGATTATGACCAAGAGCGTGATGTATAGCCATAGGACACTCCATGACACTGCGTAGAGAAGACGCGCAATATGAGGACGGTGGAGATACGAAAGATAAGACACGTTAATTTATCAATAAGTCTGAGAGCACGGGGCAACTTGAAAGGTGGGAATTGACCGTGGAGTTCTACTACATACCATTCGCCGCCCATTCTGTCTTGAGCTCATCCAATTGCGTGATGATGGCTCGAGCAGAAAACAGTGCTCGGCAGAAATTTCCTTTTAACTTGATAAGCATGTAAAGTGCACGCTCTCCACGGTGACGGGGTTTATACAATACCCTTACGTATGCCTTCTAGTTTGCTGCCGCGGTCGAGGCTGCCAAGGTTCTTAAGAAACAGTGTCGAGAGAAAAGGAAGTACCCGTAGGAGATACGTGCGGGTGCGTGGAAACTGCCTTGATAGTACTCTTCGAGGCGGTACCCTAGCCTTCTGACTCCGAGACTCAAAGTTTAACGTTTAGGGGACCATATAACTTATCGATACATACCGAAAGCGTGAAAGTAGATGAGGTTTCGATACCCATTTCCAATCCCAGCCTTCGGTGCTTCGCGATTCTTCGCTTCTGGACCTCACGTCTATTGGACGCCCTTTCCTTCTGCTTACATCTTGAAGCGGGTGCAATCCCAGAATACAGATCAATTAACCGACCCCTCTCCTGCCCACATCTCAAATATAAAAATATCAGAGGTCCCCTTTGCCTTTTGGGCTCAACGTATGCACTTCCAGCGATCTCGTACGCGCACTTCATGCTGTTTGCATCTCATCGATGTTTCGAGTGGGTTGCGAGAATCATGATAATATGATGTCCCCCATTGAAGCAATATCTTCACCCCTCGCCCCTCCCCCGCAAATATCTACTACTCAAAATGAATCTAGGAAAAGAGTATAAGGCGTCACCTGTGCAATAGGATCGAAGAGCGATGATGGAAAAGCTCGCAATTCGTATTTTGCCCTTGTCTAACTGCATCCTTTGAGGGTGAGCTATGCAAGGTCGGACGATGCTCGAATGTCTGAGTTTGGTTATGGCGAGCTTGAAATTTCAGCACTTCGGTTGGAATTGTGTCTGTCGAGAAGGGATAATCAATGTCTTGTGCTGTCTGGTTCATGGAGATGGCTCAAATAAACATTTTCTGTTTGAATAACAAAAGATAGGATACACCATTTCTCTCCTTCATTGACAGTTCCGCCTGCTCAAGCTCCATGAAGACAAGGCGTGCCTATGGCGCTGTCGTCAATCCACTCGCCAAGGTCGAAAAAAGGGTCCAGAAATTCGTGGCGCTTCCGGTATAACCCGGTTCTGTATACCATTTTCCTAGAAATGGTAGAAAAAGAGGGGCAAACCGGGTGCTTCAAAGAAGGATAGAAGCGCTCTCATGGCCAAGGTGAACGGTGTTTCCTAAGGTGCCCTATCGCTCGCATCGTCTGTCTGAATCCGTAACTTCTGATAAGTTTTCTCTTTGCCGAAAGACGGACTATCAGACTCACAGAGTACCTACCTTTCCGACTAGGTGCAACATAATTAAGGTTTTCCACCTTTCGGCAGTTATCGTCGTGTATGGAATCGAAAATGCACACGACCTGCATCACTCTCACGCAATAACCTTCGCATTTTAGTCTTTTTTTCTTCCTCAAGATAGCACGGAGATAGCGCCCCGCCGCGGGGAATTCGATAGTCAAAAACTGTGCAGCAAATCCAAATCCGTCCATTAGCGCTGGGCGGCGAGCCCCCTGACCTCCAATGTTGGGTTCTTCGTTGCTTGTCTTTTTCCACGAGCAACTAAACGGCCTTCTATTATGCAATAAAGTCATGTCGCTAAACTGCCGATTCCTTGCCAAGTGGTCCTGGGTCCCGGACCGCACCCTCCGTACGGCGTCGGGAGGCGACGGATGGGAGAAAAGATATAGAGTTGCTCTAAACATAGATTTGATGGCCTTCTCGAAGTAATTCGTTGGCCCCCCACCTACCCCACAATTCTGGAGAAACCCACAACTCCTCGAGCAACTCGTTCCTTCTCTCCTCTTCCTTATGTGCACTTTTGGGAGCCAGAAAGACAGTAGCTGTCCTCGTATTTGCTGAGTTGATTGCAGCAGTCGAATTTTAACATCAAAAAGGATCTTGAGCGACTTCAAGCGGATGATTCATGGTCCGAAGTCACGGATACGGCAGTGAACGGGTGACGAGAAGCGGGGGTGGGGAAGGGTGAACAATACTTGCGGGTCATCGGCCGCACCAAGCTTGAACGCCCAGCCCGCACTGTCGCGGGGATGCCCCAGACTGGGTAGGCGTCTCTTTTCGCGGGCTCGGTGAGCGCAGAGAAGAAGAGAAGATCCTGCTCAGATTATCGGTAATCAGCTCTTTATGCAGACGGAAATAGCCATGGTTTTGTTCACCCCAACCCCGTTCGGGAGGTGCTTCCGGTGATGCATGTGGCAGAGGAGAAAAAGGGTGCGGGGAAGCATTTCGAAGGCAGGGGGTTAGGCTAGACTGCTCCTGTACGCCCGGATATTCTCCCGAAAAAGCACTATATCCTAGGTATAAAAGGCCTATTTTCGGCTCTCTGTGGGGCAGGAGCTTCACCTCTCCCTTCCCACTTTCCTTCTCGCTTCCCTGCAGACGACGGCCATGGCTCCGTACTTCATTCGCAATCTGGTTCCTCGTCGCGAAAAGCAGGAGGGTTCCCGACCCTTGCTCACCGTGCTGGCAAGCCTGACTTGGCTACAGTGGGCGCAGTTCCTTTCCGGGTACGTTTTCCTCCTTCAGGCTCGACGCGGCACTTGGCTTAACATTGAGCTTGGCGCGCCACGCTCTTGTCCTTCACCGCCACCGTTGTCGTGGCCGTTGACATCGTTTTAATTCTAATAATGCTGCCCTAGATGGTTTGCGTGGACATGCGATGCAATCGACTTTTTCTCCGTTTCTCTCAGTGTCGTTCACCTACGAGAGCAGTTCGGGAAGACCACTCATGAGATTGTGCGTTCTCATATCGACTTCTAGTTCCATTTTCTAACTTCTTTATCAGACGACCGCAATAACCTTGACGCTACTCTTCCGTTCTGTTGGCGCTGTAGGTTATACTTGCTCCACCCCGAAACACACCGTACTAAATACATGACGTTCCCAGGTCGTCTTTGGCGTCATTTCCGACCGCTTTGGCCGCAAATGGCCTCTCGTGGCTAATCTCGTTCTTGTTGCTGCACTGGAACTCGGCGCCGGTTTTGTTCACAACTTCAAGGAGTTCCTCGCACTACGCTCCCTCTTCGGTATCGGCATGGGCGGCATATGGGGCCTCGCTGCTTCCACCGCCCTCGAGAACCTCCCCGTGGAGGCCCGTGGAATCGCATCCGGCTTCTTGCAGGAGGGATACGCCGTCGGATACCTCATTGCCGCTCTCATCAACCTCTACCTCGTCCCCGCTGTCAGCGCCGGTTGGCGCAGTCTCTTCTGGATGGCCGCCGGCTTGTCGTTACTTGCCGCCATATTCCGAGCCCTCCTCCCCGAGAGTGAGGTGTTCTTGAAGGCCAAGGCGGCGGAGAAGGCAAAGGGAGCGCACCAGAGCACGAAGAAGAAGACAGCAATTTTCTTCCACGAGTTAAAGGAGATGCTGAAGACACACTGGAAGCTCTGCATTTACGCCGTCCTGCTTATGACCGGTTAGTTCTTCCCTCCTTATCAAATTTCGTTTTTCTTACACCAAGAATAGGTTTCAACTTCCTCTCGCACGGATCCCAAGTAAGCTTCTTAGCATCCCCAGCCGCTAAGTTCGTCTCTGACCCCGCACAAGGACCTCTACCCCACCTACCTCCAAACGTCGAAGAACTTCTCCGCGCACAACTCTACAGTCGCCACGATCATTGGAAACTGCGTGCGTCACCCTACCTTCATTGCCTTAATGAAGATAATCTTAACTTGATACTTCCCCAGGGTGCTATCTCGTACGTCATATCTGACTTGAGGATAATTCAGGACCATTGACGTGGATGTACAGTGGCGGTATTTTTGCTGGATGGCTCAGTCAGCTCATCGGACGAAGGCTGACGATTGTGTGCGTCTCTCTCGATGCTATCCACATTGCTTCTCTCGCTGATAGCGCTTCTACGCTCTACAGCCTCCATGTCCTTCTCGTCGGAGGTGTGTCTTTCCGTTCCCTATCTATCCCCACCCATCCGCGTATATTACACGAGGCGTGGTTGCGCACGCAGAATTCGTGTGCACTTCGTCGTTGTTCTCCCGATCATCACACCGTCCGTCAGAATGTTCAGCCACTGACGTTTCTTCGACAGCCTTTATCCCCTTGTGGATCCTCCCCTCGTCATTCGGCTCCCTCTCCGCCGGTGCGTTCTGGCTCCAGTTTGGCGTCCAAGGCGCTTGGGGTGTCGTGCGTGCCTGTCTCATCTCTTGGATAAACAAGACATTGACGCCCATGTCCCCTGCTTACTGCAGATCCCCATTCAACTCGCCGAGATGTCGCCACCCGCGTTCCGAGCGACATTCCCTGGCGTGGCATACCAAATTGGAAACGTCAGTCCGATTCGATGCCTTTTCGTTTTATTTACTGACAGTTGCACAGATGATCTCCTCGGCGTCTGCTCAAATTGAAGCGAGTACGTCCTAGCCCTTTTAAAGCCCCTAAGCCCATAACATATTACTGACGCTCTCGTCTAGCTGGCGGAAACAATCTCCGAACGACCATCATTCAGAATGGCGTCCCCACGGATGTGCCCGACTATGCCCTCGTGCAAGGCATCTTCATCGGAGTTGTCGCTGCATTCGTTATCTTTATCACCATTATCGGGCCCGAGAACCACGGATCGCACTTCGAGCAACACAAGGCTGCCTTTGAGGAGGGTGCCGCACGGGACGACGCGGTGAGAGAGGAGGATGAAGTGCCGCAGAGGAGGGAGAGTGACACGGAATCGGCGAATGAGAAGCATCGCGAGACGGGGTCGATCGAAAAGGTTGGGTGAATGATTGCATGAAACCACACCGTCGTCTGATATGCCTATCCACTTATGAAGTGAAATATTTCTACTACTTGTTGTTTTTCTTTGACCATGATGTATATTAAATAATTCTACCACGAATGACCGTTACAATGACTTGTACTTCAGGGGCGTAAACGGGTTTGGCAAGAGTAGATAGGTATGGTTTATATATATACATCTTCTCCGCAAGCTCCGGAAGGGATGGGATGCGTCTGCTGGCGTTCAGTTCAAACGAGTGACAGTCACGGTCGACTGAACTTGCGGCCTCTTCCAAAAAAGGCAAATGCGCCGCTCTGGCCAACAACGCACGCGGGTCCGCGGACAAACGACCACGTGATACTCATTCTCCACGCTGAGCGCTGCAGCGCTGAGGACTCAAAGGAGGCAATTTCAAGCGACTATAATCTTCCCTTCGCTACTTTTTCCGACGAGTATGGCGTTCCCGGATGCTCCGGTCCGAGAGACCAAATCCCCTAAGTATGAGTGGCCGCGTCATCTCCTCTTCTCAACCATGATTACTTTCTACGACATCCCGTTCACTGTCCCGGGGAGGGCTCTTTCTCCTTACACATGGATTACAAAGTATTTGTTCTTTCACTGTTCGTGAAATACGTCAAATTAACTACGCCTTCGCAGGTGCTGCCTCAAAGTGAAAGGACTCGAATTCAACACCGAATGGGTTGACCTCGTCGACATCACGCCTCTCTGCAAGAAAATTGGAGCAGAGCCGACAATAGTTACCAGCGATGGGAGAGAGATGTACACTCTTCCCGTGATTCATGACCCCTCGACTAGAAAAACCATCTCGGACTCCTTCAAGATCGCCCAGTACCTCGACGAAGCCTACCCGGAAACCCCCAGGATCGTTCCGCCTGGAACGACCTCGCTTCATCGTGCATTCATGTCCGCTGTGCACAAATTGGAGGCGGATATCTACCCGCTCATCATCGCTACCACCTTTGCACATGTTCCAGAAAGCAGTCGCGAATATTTCAGGCGCACGCGAGAGGCGTTTCTCAAGAAACCACTCGAAGAAGTCTCTCGTACAGCAGATGAGGCGAAGGAAACTTGGGAAAAGGTCAAGGCCTCGTTCGCTGTCTTCGATAGCTGGTATGAGAAGGACGCAGTCTTTATCGGTGGGAAGGAGCCTTGCTTCGCAGATCTCATGCTCGCGGGCAGGATCTTCTGGATTCGCAGTGTGTTCGGGGAGGAGAGTATAGAATGGAAAAACGTGGAGGGTTGGAACCATGGTAGATGGAACAAATTGTTACGGACATTCGAAGAGAAATAGGGTCTGTGAACTATACAAATAAAACTGTTGGTCGCTAAAGTTTGTTGACTTACACTGATGGACAAAGAAAGGCACTCGAGGGCCCTACTTTTAGCTTCCGAGTCCCTCAGGCTCAGATAGATTCCCAGATGGATTACAGCAACTCAACTAGAATGGCGAGGGAATACCAACCAGTTCGAGTACGCGCCCATTTTCATGGTAGGCGGCCCTTGAAGACAGAACACCATCAACATAACCACCTCGAAGCAAATCTGACGCCACAGCTTCCGAATTGTTGGCCATAAGGCTGAAGGTTCCATTCCACAAAGGTATATTATACCTTCTTGACAATGTGAAACGACTGGGCATCGCAGAAACCCGACGGAGGTCGAGAAACGTACAAGTCGACTCATTTCTCGAGAATTCTTGACGGGAGCTCGTGATGAGATGAGCGCGGTCGAGCCGCATCATCATCTGCAGAAAACTCCTCTCCAGTCGCAACGCTCTCGCGTCCGTCATTAATTGGCGTCGTTCTGAAAAAATGCCGAGTGAAAGTGCCCAACCTATCGATTGCAACCGCGATCACTGTCGAACGGAATATGAGAAGTGCAAATGAAGACAATAGAAGATGCAATCACCCAGGCTTCTTCAACCTACGCGTGCCGAGCTCCAGTTCCTCCAACCGCCTCCTCTTATTCTCCTGCCTAATTATCTCCCTCGTTTTGTCAAGCAACGGACGATTCTGCACCTCTCCAAGCTCCAACCCGGCCTCTGGGTCCTTCAACTTCCTCCCTAACCGACGTTTCACCAGCGCGACGTATCCTACCTCACTTAAGCTCCGAGCAACCTTGTCCATCTCTCTTTGCTCAGGGGTCATCTGCGAGAGAACGTGGGCTGGCGGTCCTTGCCGTTTCCGCCGGAGAGCACTCAGTGTCCGTTCGCCCCGCCGCTCACGTTCTTTCTCTCGTGTCTTGTTCCGAATCTTCTCGCGTCGTGCTTCGAAGATTGCCTCGACGAGTTCAGGAGGGAAGGGCTGGGCAGCACGGGCGTATTCGCGTTGATCTTTGAGCTTGAACTCGTCTAGGATGGTTTGAATGGGTTGACCTGCAGAGAGGCGTGAGGATAGCTCCTGCGTCGTAGAAGAAGGTAGGACTTACGCCATTCGGCGGATACATCTTCGCCCGAGAAGAAGGTCGGGAATTCGGTCTTGGTCAAGTCGCGCAGGCCCTCCTCAAATTTGCCTTCGAGTTTGAGATCCTCCAGGTCTCCTTCGAGGTCAGCTTTTGTCTTGAATCGCTTTTCCCGGGCAAGGATACGTTTCCGCACAATCATGGCGATAGGCTTGGGTTGTGGGTACATCCGTGGAAGTGGGCCGTGAAAGAGGGTAGGACGGAGGAACCCTCCAGTCCAGATAGGCTGTGTCCGCGCCCGCAGTTGTCGTTCCTAAGAGAACGGACAAAAATTGTGAACAGGGTAAGAATAATCGCAGCAAGGGCGCTTACCAATTCACCCTTCATCACCCTCCTTAGATCTGCCTTTGCTCGTTTCGCAGCTATCAACCGAGAGTATCGCATCATAACAGCTTGGCAATGTCGGTCGCCATCCATAGCCTTCTTGAAGAACTTAAGCCACTATCTTATGGTATAAGCACCCAAAAACGTGCAAGACATAAATACTTAAATCCCCTACCTTGTATCCTTGGTTTAGACGCGCTTTTGTCTGCTCAACCCCGGTTAGGTGGCGATTCTGACGAAACAGTGCTCGAACCCGAAACTTGACCTGTCAGGATCCATCAGCCTCTAATCCCGGCATAGGAAGCACGCGTACATCTTCTGTTGGAGAGAGCCTGAGAATCCCACGATATAATGACCATAAAGTGGGAGTTCTGTGCGCCGCAAGTCGAAAAAAGGGTGTTCTCGATCGAACACGTCGCAAGGGAGACACCAAGTCCGCCAATTTGGCACGAAAGGCCAGAGATTTGGGTGTAATAACGTTCTTCATAGTATTTGAGTCTATGCCATGGCAGAAAACACGTAAAGTCAGAGGCTCAGGACCCGAAAGTGGTGGTTGGCAAAGTAATGCTGTGTCACTGTTGTCACGATTAATCTACAAACCGATCTTATCTTATCGCACTTTTTCATCCTTGATGACCGGGCCAAGATCCTTGCCAAGATGCATTTCGAGTTTGAAGGTGAACTCTGCACGGATAGACATCCATGGTTAATCCTGGCGATGATCTAATGTCTTTACGCCTCCGGATAGGAATCACCCGTACCGACCCTTTCCCTATTATCTCTCTGACCGCCATCATCGCAACATCAGCTCTCGCCTTCAGCCTCATAGCCTCCCACTTTTCATTGAACGCTGCGGAATGGTACAGGGTAGCTCTGGGAATCGAACCTCGAAACCAACGTGCAGCATCTAGGCGGTAGACTCGCAGCAGCTGGGCGCTGTTGTTCAACCCTCAATGTTCGAACTCACCAGGAACGATTTCATAACGTGCAGCTGCCGCACGGCGTTTGGTCAATGGTCGAAGCCGCCACTCAACGTTCTATGCAATTGTCCGAACTCATAACCAAGCACGATTTTGAATACTGACGGCGATCGTGACGCCTCCATACCTCTCTCGGGGCTTTCAAGAGCACTGGACTTCAAGCCCCTCTTTCTGAAGCTTTCGGGCACATTGTCTTTGTTGGAAGGGTTTACCCCGTCATGAGCACGATTGCCGTTGTACCGCAAGGCATTCAGCAGGGAACTGCGTCATAGTCGAGCCGATCCAGGGACACATACTTTTGGGACAGGTGGTGCGAGGGCGACTTCAACGTGGATGGACGATGCCTCCGACATAATGGGAAAACACTGCCACAGATGTGACCTATCACTCGCCGTTTACTGCGGCGTTTCGACATGCAGCCGCATCGAGACGAAATCCGGCTGCGAGCTGTCCACTTACGCAGCGCTCGCATCCTAATAATGACACTTGGCAATCCTCACAATTCACCAACATTGTTTATGAGCATCAAAGCTCATCCAGCGCCCAGTTCGCACACGGCAAACGGATACCGCCGAACCTGCTTTTCGAGAGACAATCATTCAAGAAAGAACTACGCGTAGAGGTGTGGACAGTCTATAAATATAGGTTGTCGTTTCTCTGACTGACTCATCCCCAATTCTTCTTTTTTTCTTGTTGTTCATCAGCCATGGCAGACAACGGTGGGTCTACCCCATTCCTGTGATACACCTAGACTAAAATACGGCGTGAAGGATCCCACACCCTGAGCATTGAGGAGGATAGCCCTTACGGCTATGTTCCAACTCGATACGTCACCATCCTTTTCCTGGCGCTCTTCGGTGTATCCACTGGTTCGTTTCTGTCCTTTTCATCAGGTGTCACGTCGCTGAACGCCATTCCATCAGCCCTTCACTTTGTCCAAACTATTCGCTACCGCATGTGGTGGTTGTTCCCGACGGTTGGTTTGTGCTGTATCTTGGAGTTGCTGGGATGGGCCGGGCGCCTGTGGTCCACCTTCTCTCCAACGAACGAAGAGGCCTTTCAAATACAGTCAGTATTTCAAGTCCAACTCTCAGACATTCACTTACCGCGGTGTATCGTGCAGAATTATCGGCACAATCCTAGGCCCAACTCCCCTCCTCGCCGCTACGTTCGTCATCTCGGAAAGAATCATTGAACGGCTCGGTACATCGTACAGCAGGCTCACCCCCAAGTGGTGTAAGTACCACGCTACTGGACCTTCAAAGATGTATTCTGACTGTCTCTTTATGGCAGATACCATCCTGTTTATCTCTTGTGTGAGTGCCCGTCCGTCTTCCATATTATAGACGATGGTGCTGATTTCGCTCCTAGGATGTGACCTCTCTTGTCATCCAAGGCGTTGGTGGCGGGATAGCCGCCTCTGCTGCAACCCCTGACGGCGCCCACACAGGAGCAAGAATCATGCTCGGCGGTATCATTTTGCAACTCAGTACGTTTTGCCCCTGATCCGAGTGACCGAGTACCGCTAAACCCGTACAACCCAGTTGTCATCGTCGTCTATTCCATCTGTGCTGTTGAATTCATGACTCGCTACTTCCTTCGCAAACCCGTTCCATCCCGCCTGCCCGAGGGCAACAGCAGTTCCGCGTCTTCCCAAGTCACGCTTTCCCATGGCATCCTGACCAAACGCCTCAATTTGATGTGCATTGCATTGGGTTTCAGCACGGTCGTACTCTTCATCCGGTGAGTTTTTGCGATGAAATGTTCTGGAAATCTTATCTGACCGGTTGCCGCATGGCAGCGCAATCTACCGTACTATCGAGCTGGCTGATGGATGGAACGGCCGCATCATCGAAACGGAGGTGTACTTCAGTGCGTCGAACAAGCTACCTTACTTCTTAGCTGGGAACAACGATCTAACCCGTGACCAGATGTCTTGGACGGCGCCATGGTTGTACTTGCCATCTACGTCCTCAATATCGCTCATCCTGGCGTACTCCTGGCGGCGCCCGCGGTCGAGGAAAAATACGGCGCTTAACGAGCCTATGGGATGCAAAATAAGTAGCTGATGGACATTTTTACGATCTTTTTGGTCTTAGAGTTGAAAGACATGCCGCATGATAATGATTACTAGCACGGACTCCTGAGATGGACACTTATAATAGCCCTCAGTCTTCATTCTGTCGCTACTGGGCCTTCTATAACCCTGCTGTCGCTGGTTATTTACCTAAATATCTGCTGTTTAATCGCACTACTGAAGTCCCCACAAGAAGTAACATTGAGGCGTCTACGGGCAGAGTGTCCGAAAATATCGATTGCTAATTTTGGCAATTAATGTTCTAAAAATAGCATGTAATCCTTGTGTTGGTCGGACGGCCACGCCGGCCATCGAGTCCCAGCCAATGTCTGGGTCCCGTCGCTAGAACGAAGGACGATATGCTTGATCACGTCTTCTAATAATTCTCTCTGGTCATCGTGAAACTTACTCGCTGTTTACGCCCATAGAGACAGAAAAGGAAAGCCGAAAATTCCACTGCTCTAACAATAGAGCAGCATTTCCTAGGCCTGACGTAAAGCTGAAGTGGAAAAACTCCCGCTCTTAAACACTACTTAAGCTATGCTGGCTCTCATGCGTGAGACAACCGACACGCAGTGTGACCGCCTGCTAAGGAGCTAATTTCGACATTCTTTCATTCTGAGGCACCTTAATGCAGGAAAGCGTCTTTGACCCTGTCCATAAACTGGGGTATGAAATTAGGCGCCCGTCGTCGAGCGAGCCATCCTACCATTGAATGAAATACATCCTTATAGGCTACAACGGGGACATTCCTCGCCTTTATATTCTTTGTACCACTAAACAGAAATCTTCCCCGCTCTAGGTCTCGGGGGAGAAGTTACAGCTTCTAGAGTCCCAAGAATAACAACATAACCAAGTTAAGGACGTTCTGGAGAGTCTTCCGTGTTCTCGAGTTTTCTGCGCAGCATTGGAAGTTCATACATGAGTTTCAGCGACAGCGTATTTCAAATACTCTATTCATAAACGCTTCGAGCCACTCAAAGTCCTCGACCCACAGATTCTTCCGTATCTACCAGACATCCTCGGTATTCTACCCGGGTTCCGAAAGTCCGCACGAATGTTGCGCATCAAAGAATCTTCAGAAAGGACGTCAGTCTTCGCGTAGGTGTCACATAGAAAGAACACGCCGACATTGATTAATATGGTAACCCACAGAGACAAACGAGCCGGTCGCGGTTTTTGACAAATCTTGGTTGCGTATCCGACTTTCTACTTTGGTAAATCAGACTACTAGATAAAGACTACGAATTACATAGCAGTCTCGTATTTCTCAAGTGCGTCGATGAGGTTCTTCCAACGTCCGCCGTGCCAGGTTTCCAAATCCTGCCATTCCTTACTTTCCGCGCCCCAAATAGCTTTGAAATAGCGAAGTTGAGAAGCTGCAACGATGTCGGCCCAGGAAAGTACGTCTCCAAAAACGAACGGCCCTTTCGCATCGCTCTTCTCAAACCAAGCGTTCATCTGCCCAATTATGTCCTTGAAGGCCACCCATTGCTTGACGCGCTCTTCTCCGACGGGAAGGAGATCTTCTATGCGCTTCCCTAACATGGGCTCCATAATGGAGCGAATCTTGTGCTCGCTCCTGGGAGAAAGGAAGCCGCCCACAATGTAGGGAAGAGCAAACGAGTGCGTGGTTATAGAGGCGGGGAATTCCAAGGCACCTTGAGTGGCGCGAGCATCGCCGGGGAAGATGGTTGGCGCGTCAGGGTATGTCTTCTCGAGGTAGTCAGCGATAGCCAGTGAGTCGGTAATCTTTGCGCCAGTGGAAGTGTCGTGGATGGAAGGAAGCATGTACTTGGGTGATCCGTCTGGATTTTTTCCATTGGGCGGTATACCGTTCCTAATTGCGTTGGCTTCGACGTCGGCATTCTCGATCCATTCTGTGTGGTAAGGGATTCCTTTGTAATTGAGAAAATACCTAGAGCGAAGACGGTGAGGTCATTTTTCAGGCATTAAGGACGACCTTACCTCGCACGCCATGTGCTTGGGGCCCAGGTGCCATTCACACGAGGACTTGAAAAGTCGTAAAGTATGATAACCATTGTGGTTCAAGGTAGGTCTACAGATATAAGTAGATGGCCGCGGTATTTAAAGAAGCATCTCCTGACAGAATTGTAAGACTCGACGCCGTCTGACAGATATGCGTCCCAGATGCATGTATTACTAACCGTGAGGACTGCGCATACTCCACATAAGTGTTAGTAAGCTTTGCGCTGTGACGCAGATTTCGAGGAAAGAAATGGGACACAGGCTGTCAAGATGTGTAAGCAAGGGACGATACTGAGCTAAGTATCAGAGAAAGCGCCCCATTAGCCGTATCATATCTCCCACTTATAATACACATAAAATTTCAGCCAGTGTCTGTTGGGGCCGTTATCTAACTTGTGGGTAGGCTTTAGAGGCATGAGCCGCATGACCAAAGCCCGGACGCCACACGCGCGCCCTAAAACGGAAGCGGATCATGTAACTCAACAACTCTCATCTACGGTGTTCGCCTGCTCGTTTCGTTTCTGCCCCGCTCAGCCCTTGATGGAGGGGGTCTGATGGGTCAGGTGATCCTTCGGGCCGGCCTTGCATACCTTAGAGCGCTCGTCGTCGTCAACATCGTGTAGGAGTACTTGAGTATTAAAACGTCGGTTTTCTGTAGTTATACTACTGGAATAGATATTATGCACTATTTTCCATGTGGACACGAGCTCTACTGCAATGTTCGGGAGCGAACTAGACCAATCCGAGAGCATTTACGAGGGTAAGTGTTAGTACAACAGTGATACTCGTACAAAAAGACCGACTGCGCGAGGTAGAAGAGGATATATACAAGACATACTTTTCCTGGAAACAAGGAGTCACTCGCTGATAGACACCTCGATTTTCTATCTGAGTTCGAAGGTTGCTGCCGACTTGCTGAGCGGATGCAGAAATCTGAAATGCTAGGACGAGTTCTGAGGTGTCCAGAGAAAATTAAACTTGAGTTCGCGAGGTACAGGACAGGACGGAGACACAGGATGCAAGGCGAAATAGCCAAGACTCTCAGCGCTAAATGGAGGTATGCGCCAAAATTGCGCCGGTTCGAGAAAACCAGGCAGTGATACTCCGAGGAAGGACGGTCAGAGCGAAGACTTGAACCCTTTTTGGGGGGAGAGAATACGAGATAGAGGAAACTGCGTTAGACAAGGAGCGGTCGAGTAGGGGAGCTCTTTCCAGCAGCAGAACCGCAGTTGAACAGACAAAAAAACCAAAAGAAGTTAGAACAATAGAAAGCGAGTAAAAAAAGAGGAGCAACATTTGAGGCGACGAGGAAAAGCTAGCATACTGGACACTTCTACTGTGGAAGGTTTGAACCTGGAAAACCTGGAGAGGCTAACTCTGGAGGGATCTTTATATGCAACCTTATACCCATACCCTTTGCGTAGCACTACTAGCGTACATTATCATATAGAGCTTATATACTTTTACGATGAGAAAATGTACCAGTATATGAGAGACGAGCATCGAAGATTTAGGTGCGGTCATCTCGGTGAAGGCCAATTGGGGGTACGCGACTTGCAGATTCCGATGTTGATGGTCAAAGTGGCGATGAAGTGGTGGAGGAGTGAAAGCATTGTCGTGGTGGTTAATAACTGAGAGAGTGCTAGTCCGGGAGAATGTGATGGCCATAGGTCATATTAGAGCCTTGCATGAACATTTCTCGTTGCGCTATCTGGTGTTGGAGAAAACAATGGCTCATTAGCCACACTAATACAAGTTATTATAAAAGACTGGCTTCCCCTGCAAAAAAGGGACCCCTAAATTAATTGAACAGATTTCCGAGCATTATTCACCATCAGGGCGTGAACGAGGCTTACTGAAGTGTGGAAAATAAGCACACCGCAGTTTGTCTGACGGCGCTACCAATTCCACCGTCGCGTCACGATGCTGGATCGTATTTATTTTTGTTATTGGGGTCTATTCCTGCGTTATGGCCTAGTCACCACATATTTCCACTTGTAGGTGGTAACGATTTCACGGTATATTTGGCGTAGCAATTACCAGAGCATCTCATTCATGAACGCGAGCACTCAAGAACCTGCAATAAAGCTCGTGTCCACATGGGATATAGTGCGTAATATCTATTCCAGTAGTATAACTACAGAAAACCGACGTTTTAATACTCAAGTACTCCTACACGATGTTGACGACGACGAGCGCTCTAAGGTATGCAAGGCCGGCCCGAAGGATCACCTGACCCATCAGACCCCCTCCATCAAGGGGCATGCGGTTCTGGAACACCGTAACCACCGTCAATCATCATTGCACAAGCTCAGACGATGAAGCCGAAGTGATGCGGCTTTTCAAGCTTGAATTTTGTCTTCTGATATAAAGTCTGTACTTGGACGCGTCGCAGGCAGCGGTGACCAAAAAATCGGCTTCTCGTGGACTTCTAAACTCGCATTGCAACTCGGCTGGGCGGAGGGATCCAAGTGAGCGTCCAATTCTAGTCCTGCTTCCCATAGACGATAGGTCTGTGGCGACCATGGCCCCGGGAATTGCAACTGCAACCGGCTGTATTGTGGACCAAATTCATGGGCTCAAACGATGATCCCGCCCGGACGACCAAGACGCCCGCGTACGTCGTCTACTCATCGTATTTCGATTGAGTCACAAGCCTGTCTCTGAAAGCCCCTCCGACTTATGGACAGCTTTTCAGATCTCCCATCTCAAGCTGTAGACACGTCTCAGGCGAGCTGGGATAGCGCAGAGCACCGCAGGATCAGTGACCCTCCTCGACGTGACGGACCGACGATCCGACTCAAGCTCGCTAGACCACCTTCTCAACGACGGTAAATTCATCCGCGGCCGCTCGCTAACGACCTTCAGAAGTAGGAGACGATCCATGAAGTGCCGTCATGGTCATGCTTAATCTCGGTTCCAACTGCACGGGACTATTCAGACTTGATTCAGACCCGTCTTCCACAATTCGCGAGCATGGAGAAGAAGCGGCTGTATGACATTGCGAGCGCGCAAGATCGCCAAATACGCTGGGACGACTCAGTAAGTGATTCCCTTTCGGACGTCATTAGATGGTGACCGCGTGCGCTCAGGTTCCATTGATTAATTATGCCTTGTACTCTCTGTCAGTCGTGGAAAACACTCGTCAATTCTCGACTTCGAAATACGACTCTGGGCGAGTCTTGAAGAGGCGGCGGCCGCACGCACACATCTCTGGAAAGATTGCTGTGTGCCCCATTCGCCTTTATTTCTGCACTCTCTAATAGATAGCCTGGTTATCTCCCTATCCCATCTGGATTGATACAAATCGTGAGGGTGAGTGGACCCTTCGCCTCCCTTCACATGCAGAACTGTTCACATCACTTCTGTGTCCAGAATAAGCAAGGGGTTAACGACATGCTTCTTGACACATGGGAACGACCGAATCCTTCGCGAGTGGTGCTGCGAGTGGAGCAAGTCTCCCTGGGATTCGTCTTCGAAGCTTTCAAGGTTACTGAGCTTCGTTCGTCAGCTTATAGACGAACTGACTTTCAAATCAGAGCATAGCGACGCGTCTGGGCCGTGTCGTCATAAATGGGTCTCGGCGGCAGACTGATTTCTCCGGAATTCATTGTCACGCATCGACTCGCTTGTCTAAAAAACTTTCTTCCCTTCCCCTTCCATAAAGAAGCAACGGAGAAGTGAGTGTTGCTTAAAGAGAGCCCGGGATGAATGTCTGTTGCGATTTCTCTTTCCTCTTCGCGTTTCCCTCCCATGCCGACTTCACCAGCGCTCTTTGTTGCAAGTTAACGTACAGGTGAAGTTCCGCGAAGTCCTGTCATTCGAACCACCTCACTCTCTTTTATATCCCGTGGTCTTTTCCAATACTTCGCCGTACTCGCCGCCATGCATATCCATTCCTTTCATCGAGTGAAGACCCACAAGGAGCCGACCGCTCTCGCTCGTGATGAAAGCCAAATTGCAGCGCGCGAGCCCCTTCTCATCGATCTCCCTCTTCCTCTTCCCATCCTCTCCGTTTCTGTAGCAGTTCCTCTTCTTGGTTTGACTGTTGTCGTTGGAGGCGAGGGCCGGCTCCTTCCCACTGGTATCATCCCTTCACTTCCAATACCGCCTGTTATCCCCCCAACCCCCGTCCCTCCCGTGCCCACACCTACATTACCAGACCTACCACCGGTCATCCCAACACCCCTACCACCCGCACCCACAGTCGAGAATCCTCCCGCACAGCCAGACCCCACACCGGATCCCGGTACGAATACGCCGTCTACCCAGGCCCCGCCTGACCCTGGAACTGTAGGAACCAGCAATGCCGGTGCGCCGACGAAAACCACACAATCGGCTCAATCTTCCAGCACTCTAACCGGTACCCAGGAGGATGAGGGTGCGTCGGGCAGCAGCCGACCCCTTCCCAGCGCTATGAATGCCGCAGCACTACCGTCGTTGGGCTTCGGCGGCATCTTCACCGATGGAGCGAACGGCGGAGTCTCTGCAACAGGATCAGGCCCCTCTGGAGTCAATACGTTAGGGCCGTCGGCAACCAGCTATCCAACGAACGGAGGAGGAAATGGAGGTGGAAACGGAGGAGGAAACGGAGGAGGATTTCCAGATGGAGGAGATAATGCGAAGGGAGGACTTTCAGCTGGCGCAATTGCTGCCATCGTAATCGCGTGTCTTCTGGTGGTGGCGGGCCTCACAGTATTCATCCTTCGGAGACGCTCCCGTCACAGGCAGGATCGACAAGCCCATTCGTGGTGGTTCTCAAGACAGCGGACGTCGCAGATCTACGACGATACCCCGCCTCTCAACGGGCGATCATCCAGCGCTTATACGTTCACCACGATCAGCGACCGCACTATGTCCCCTGTGCCCACCTACGACCTCCCTTCCCCTCCACCGACCGCTGAAATGTCACAAAGCAGCACGCCAATTCCGCATTACGACGTGAACGGTCTTCTATTCCCCATCCCAAGCCAGTACACCGTCATGAACAACCGGATATCGCGCACTTCACTGCTCAGCGACTCGACGGCCTCAACAGAGTCACAACTTGAGACGAATACTATAACCTTCCCGCCCTCGCGCTACTCTTCCCAAACAACAATTATCCCCCAACCTTACCCAGCCAAGGTCGACAGCCCCCGGCAGATGAGCAATATTCCCCCACTTTCTCCTATCATTATACCTTCATATCGACGTGTATCAGCCGTCCCCATTCCTCCCATCCCTCCTCTACCGAAATCACCCCCTCCCACTCCCCGTCAGTTCACTTCGAATCCTTTCGCGGACAATAATCCATTCGATGACCCCACACATTAGCTTACTTAGGTCTCGTACGATGAATATAACCATATCGTGCAAGCCGCAAGTGTGATCTGAGTATGAGCGCCTTTCCTTCCGTTGTATTTCGAGGTTCTCGATACCGTTGAACAACCGTCCCTGCTTCAGAAGCTTGAGAAATGGCTCTAAATCTTTCTTGGTTATTTCTTTTTGGAGCGACGAAATGCCATGTATTAGGCCGGTTGAAGGCGCCTTCTTCCCGTTGGCGGCGGAACTGAGATTTAAGAGACGCTCTGCAGGTTCTCGATCACACGGTGGTCGGTGTATTATGACGTCATAAATTTCGCGTTTTGCTCTGAATTGCCATGGCAATGGCGTCCGGTGTCTAGACTCCCGAAAAACTCCAGCTCGAGCCAGTAGGTCGCCACGCAGTGTGCGCCTTTCTCCTTATTTGGCAATTGCGTTGCCTGCAAAAGATTTTAGTTTCAGAGGGGCTTGATAAAGGGTCGCCGCCCCAGAGCACATATAGAAGATGTTTCCCTTTCAGTGGTCGCTGCATTCAAGGAGAGCGAACGCTGGAGACTAGTGTTCTTCCATCCCGTTGACCACATGGGTCCCGGGTCCTGGGCGCCTCAACGTGGTTCCCGACCCCTATGCCCGAAAATTAAGGGTTGATGCGCATCATTGCCATGCTCGAAGGGATCAAAAAGTCGGCTCCGCCGATAATAAAGGCTAAATGAATGCTCGGGTCGGCTCGCGGTTCTGATGAGCGACATAAAAGTTTTGTGAGTGCCTCGAGGGATGATCGTCCAACAAGGGAGGGCGGAGAGGCCGACCCTTCAGAGTCAAACTAAACCTTCTCGTAAGTTCCTCCTATACAGGTTTAGGTGGTTTTCAAGCGTCTAGATAGGCTGGGATTAAAGCGATTAGCGCCTGACATAGTTGGGGTCAGTCGCACTAGAGGGGATTCGGATTTTAGCCCAGGAACGAGGAAGGATGAGGAGGATGTTCCTCAGAGATTTCCGAGGAATTTCATCCACCAGCTGTCAAATCTCACGACATGTCGCGAAAGTGAGTGTCTGTGGGGACATCGACCGTCAAATCATGACCGCTCCTATAACAAGTACTGCTTACCCATGGAGGCAATAAGAAGTTATGGTTTTCGCCGCGCTCCTTAGGCTTCAGCATCATGCACGTCCTATATTTATCGCCGGCGGTGGGTGGGACACTGGGTTTCCGTGAGCTTAACGGAAATTATAGGGGTGAATTTCGCTGAGCGGAAGAAGAATATCATATCGGAGAACTTGGCTGGGCATTGGGCAGCTCCTCCACCATATGCATCGACATATGACAGCTTATCACCTTGGGTAACCTCCGTACAATCCTCGCGGTTCCGTCGACTGTCACCGATGCATGTAAGAGATGACGACATAGGTGAGCCAATAGGTGACGGTGTCAAAGAGAGTGAAAGAGAAGGACTTCCAGAGAATAAGGTCAGTGGGAGAACTTGAAGAAAGGTAGGAGCATTGTCCTCGAAGTAGAGGGGAACAACGACAAGAGGCATCCCAACGCTATAAAAATCAAAGTGTGGAGTGGGAGTTGCAACGCGATTTGTAGGAGATCAATCAAAGAGTTTCCTGTCTAAGTCTTTCTTTCCCCTTTGGGTATGGTCTCGGAATTGCGACAGAATTGAAATCGGATGGTATTTTCGGCATAAGCCACGACGAGCCTGGAGGCCAGCGGGCGTGGTCGTTATTATGGGACCCTTAGACCGGGGCATCACCTTTCTCTCTTTCTCCATCTTTTCTCTGCCAGAAAATTGCGCAGCTGCTCTCGGTGCGCCTGGCTCGCGAAGAGAGCTCTCCAAAACTACGTCTCGTTAGACGCCCCACGCTCGTTTATCTCGTCGCCGTCTCTGGCTTTATCATATACCCTCGAGCTCAAGGCTCTCGACCCTCCCACAATCCCAATCGCCGGGCTCCACTTCATAAACTAACCATTCAAGCGAGTCCACTACAATGCGTATAATTGCCCGTCCAGCTGGCGACCACCATGCCGTCATAGGTCGTTCGCTCGCCAATAAAACCCTCAACGCTCGCGAACCCGCGCTTATCAACCTTCCCATTCCCCTCCCCTCGATCCCCGTTCTCACACCCATACTTTCTCCTCTCATTGCTGGAAGCAACCAAAATTCTGGATCTGGAACGACCACGACTCCGACAACATCTGCGGCCGCTCCGGCCCAAACCTCATCGTCGACTGGAAGCTCTGGAGGGTCTACTGGAGGAAGTACGGGTGGGAGTAGTGGTGGGACTACCGATGGCAGCAGTGGTGGGAGCACCGGTGGAGGCAGCACGAACGGTGGATCAACTGGCACAGACACGACAGGTACGGGGACAGGTTCCACTGGCGGTTCGACCACCACCTCGCCCAGCACTGGAGACACAGGGGCAGGTACTCCCTCTGGCGACGGGGGTGCCGAAGGAGGAACGGATTCTGGGACTTCTACCTCCGGAAACAGCGGGTCCAGCAGCAGTGGAGGAAGCGCGTCCACGGACAGTGACGGCACCGGTACCTCGCCCTCTGGTAACTACAACTCAAGCGGCGACGGCGCGACGGCTCCTGGGCTCAATGTACCCGGCATCGCGAATGCGGGGAACATACCTTCGTCTTCTCAAAGCGGTTCGTCGGCCGGGTCCAGTGCTGGTTCTGGGTCAGCTACCGCTACGAGTGGATCGACTACCTCGACAAACGGAGCTGGAGGAGGAAACGATACCGGCACGGGCGGCGACCCAAATACGCTAGGCGCTTCGAGCAAGGGTGGTCTTTCGGGCGGCGCGATCGCAGGTATTATTATTTGCGTCCTGCTCCTCCTAATCGGCCTCGTCGTATTCGTCCTTAGAAGGCGCTCAAGAGCACGTCGCGATCAGCAAGCGAACGAATGGTGGTTCACGAGGAAGCGCACTTCCCAGACGTACGGCGACAGGAATAGTCAAGAAATCCTAGCAGGCGCTCCCAGCGCGCGCAGCAGCTTCGCCACCACGGTCGACCACTCCCGCGATTCCCCACACGCCAACACCTTCGTTATCCCACCACTTCCACCCATGGCTGAAGTGGGACGCGCCAAAGCCACGGCTCCTATGTTCGTCCTGGAATCTTCTCACTTCGATTCAAACTCAAACTTAAACTCAAACGCACGGTTTTCTGTTGGGAGTGCCCATTCGGAAAATTCCCAGTACCTCGTCGTCCACCACCGGGATAGTTTGAACCCAGAAATCGGCACGCCAATGTCGGTTCGCCCATTCTCACCTTCAGAATCGTTCGCATTCCCGAAGCCTCCTGAAGCCGCCAGCGCACGAAACTCCGTGTACTCGAGGCCCACAAGCTCGGCGCACTCAGCCAGCGGTACATTTTCGGCCAAGGACGTCGACGACGTAATCCCTCCCACACCAGCGCTTCCGCGGTTGCATCTTCTCCAGTCACCCATATCCCCTTCTTCGAACCCCTTCGCGGATAACAATCCCTTCGATGACCCCGCCGCTGCTGCTGTAAACAACGTATCTGTGGGCGAGTTCGCCGAAACCGAGACCATTCGTCGCCCGTTCCACCCCACCCTACCAGACGAACTCAAGGTGCTACCTGACGACATCGTACACATTATACAATCATTCGATGATGGGTGGGCTCTCGTGGAGAAATTTGACGTCAAGGGCAAGGGAAAAGAAGGCGCTGAGCCTCAGAGGGGGCTGATACCGGTTGATTGCCTTCGCGAACCGGGGCAGGACCTTCCCGCGTTCTGTGCTGCGAAGCGGATGAGCAGCTACACGGGACCCGTTGCTGATGGAGGCGTTCATGCGCTCTGAGGTACGTTTCTCAGAAGGTGGAGTTGGAGAGGATTTCTAACGTGGTTTTCAGACAGCTGACCCACAGAGGGTTTTGAGTTTTGATGCAACCACTGACTTTGTTTGACGCACACTAGGAAAGACAACTATTTATACCCAACAGATCTGTCTGCTTTCATGCTTTCAGTACGCTAGCGTTCGCTTTTCAGCGCCGCATACCCCGTTACACATCTCGGCTTCAATCTTTTTTCTCGATGAAGTGCTAATTTAACTTTTGTTCGTCTGGTGACATAGCGGGCAGGTTTCTCTTTCGTTTTGCTTATTTATTCTCTCTTTACGATGCACCCGTCTAGAACCGTCTCGCATGGATTTCAATGCCCATTTAGTAGTGTCAATGTTTTGAAAGAATGCAATCGTTGCCCTGTACCAAATTTGCGATTCTTACAATTCATTTCTTGTTGCAATCATTGCTATGTTGTGTAGGGTTCCCCGTTTGAGCGTCCGGCTTCGCAAGACAGTAGAGACGTTTGTTTTGGCCTATAACGTAGTGAGGTACGAGCGTAGGGTTAGGGTGCGGTCTACGCATCAGCGGTGGCAGTGTTAGGTGAGGAGAACCTCTTTCTCCTCGACTGCCACCTGCTGCCCACGCTGAGAGCAGTCCAGCGTTGCGGGCTTTTCTTTTCTCATCGTATCTACCAATACGCGCTGTATCTCTGCTGTTCACTCTACCTAAAGCAACTTCAGGCCACACATGCCGCCACGTATCACACAAGACCCGCACTTGGTGCAACCCCCCGACTTCGAGTCGGAACAATTCCGGGCGCTTTACGCCACCTTAGCCACCGCCGAGCGCACAGTGGACGCTATCATAGCCGACTCCCAAAATGCTTGGACCCAGAACAACGACGCGCAAAGAGTCGTGTGGAACGCCCAGGTCGAGCAAGACCACGCAGAAGAAGAGGAAGCTAGGGCAGCTCAGGAGCAAGCAAAGCAAGAGGCCGCCGAAGCTGAGAAGCGTGAGAGGGAGAACAAACGGCCCAAGAAAAAATCCTTCACCCCGAACAAGACGGTCGGGAAGTTGTCATCTCGTCGACCTTCCCGCTATGCGATCCACAAGATCGAACAACTCGAGTACGTTGAGCTCTACTATTTCACCAAGGAGGCCTGTCTTGAGGCCGAGAGGACGGAATACTCAGTGGCGAGGGGCACCTTCACCCTGATGGCTGACGGAGAGAACGTGCTGGCAAAACCCGCCGCTGCGTACAAGCCATCCACAAAGGTCGTCCAGGATGAGAACCTCGAATGGCGCCAAATCATCAAGGCGAAGGACTACATGCTGGAGGCCATGGTGGACGCAGGCTGGCCCGAGGAACACGTCATGGTCCTTGGTGTATTCTTTCTCGAGCTCGACAAGCACCCAATCAGCGACCTAGAGGGGGGAGAAACCGCTGTTCTACTGTACCAGGCGCGCATCCGCCGTAGGTGGATGGAAGACCTCAAGAGCACCAATGACGAGGAAGTCTTCGACATCAGTGTTGTCAATGACAAACGGCTGGATGAAATGTACAGCGAGGTGCTCAACCTCCGTCAGGCCCAAGGCATTAAACGGTCAGTCACCATTTCATTCACAAGCTGAGGGGCATGCAGCTGACAACATCTCACACCGCACTGTCATTAACCCACATCTCATCTTTGCGCCCCTGTGCTCATCATGCACACATGCCGCGCACCCTCACGCACCCCCTCCGCACCCATAACCTGCACCCATACCTCCGCACCCATAACCCGCACCCATACCTCTGCACCCATAACCCGCACCCATACCTCCGCACCCATACCTTCTGCACCCATACCTCTGCACCCATAACCTGCACCCATAACTCGCACCCATAACCTGCACCCATAACCCGCACCCATAACCTGTGCCCGTAACCTACACCCACGCCCCGCATCCACGCGGCCCCATATCACACCCATGCTATGTGTCTATATGTCCTCTCCACCTATAATACGTATCTACTTCCCTATACCTACGAGCTTACTCCTACTCCTCTGCATTTCCTTTCATTACTCCATGACTCCGGCTCATTACCATATGGTCTGCGATCGGTTATTCTTGTGTCACATAATTGCACATCCACATTTAATATTTAATGGTTAAATACTACACTGTACAACCCGGCTGGTCTCCTTGTACTGACATCCACTTGCTACCCACATTATCAGGCTCGAAGAACAGCTAGCCAGATCAAACCTCTCTAGAGGGATAAAACGTGACCGCTCCCTGTCCCCGTCCCCGGAGACGGAAGGAAAGCATCGTACTACTCAGGCCAAAAGCAAGCAGGCACCTCGCAGAGCAGCCCCGCTTCCACACTATGCCAAAAGACAGCGCCGCGAAGGAGTAGAGGCACCGAACCAGGTTTTTCAACAGGGTGCACCGTCGACCCCCCGGCCTGCACCCTTTGCCTTGGTCGACAACCCCACAACATCTTCAAGTGCAACTCCAGCATGCTCTGGGACGGCTCACCAACCCATTGCAGGAGAAACGAAGCTGGTCGCTTGGTCAACCCAAAAGGAACCGTCATCTGCACCGACTGGCAGCGACCAGCAGGATGCTCCAGCACAACCCACGATTCCAAACACGAGTGCTCGGGATGCGGACAGGCCTCTCATGGAGCTCAGAAGTGCCCTCGAGCTCAAGCAGCATAATCCAGGAAGCCCATACAAAGCAGACGCATGGAGGTGGCATCTCGAGGCAACAGGCCTCATCCACCAATATCCAACCCTTCCGTCCGATTTTGAGCAAGGTTTTGATGTCGGAATTCCTGCTATCTCCAGAACCTTCGCACTCGGAAGAGCA